TTTTTTATTTCTGCATTTCTGGGGCAAGTGAAGGGCGCAGTGGCATTAGGCGGGCCAGGAAATACAGAATCAGCGTTCACCCGGCGGAAAAATTCGATTTTGGCGAAAGTCGACTTTCCCCCCGAAAAAAGGCCAAATATGGCACTTTGGCTCCGAGTTGGAAAAATCTAGTTAAACATCTGGATTTAAAAAACGGCCAAATCGTTCTCGTGGTTTTTTAAAATCCATTCACTGTACATTGACTACAGATCATTTAATTCTGACATGATTCAAATTCACGAGATTCGAAATCACGCAGCAACAACACCTCGAAAAATCAAAGTAACGGTTGTGGGTAAATCGGGGTAAAGTCAACAAATCCACGGGATTAGGTTCAAATATAACTCCACGTGTATGAAACCACAGTGTACAGGGTTCCCGGAGCTTTTCCACTCTTTTCCGTGGTATGTGGCCACAGGGTCGGGAACTTATGGTGTACGTGTTACGAGGTTTATGGCCGACCCGACTCCCCCTCTGGGATAACTCCACCAACGATCTCACCACTCTACGCCTACAGAATACAAAGAACTCGCGAGAGAAATGAGAACAATATTCGTTGACTTTGAGGGATAAGAGAGTGAACGAAATGTTTGGAATGTCAATATTTTCTCTACGTGAAGTGTTTTATACATTTTTTATCACTATTCCCAGTAGAGAATTTGAATGGAATATCTCCCATTCTTCAAACCATTATTTTTTTAGTAAACAAGTATTTTAAAAAGCTTTTATCCGTTAAAATCTTTTTTTTCATATTTATAATTTCACCCAGAAAAACAGTCCATTTGAACTAAATAAACCACTCTTTTGGGAATTAAATTTATTTCTTAAAAAACTTCTTTCCTTCCCCGTCTCAATAATTATTTCATTGCATAAAAATGCAAAGAGAAATCAGATCCCACTTTTACGAAAAGCTTTACCGCAAGCTTCACTCAACTAAGGTTTATTAAATTTAAATAAACAATTTCCCTGAACCAACTATTATTGAATAATTTCATTGTTTAAACTTTTTAAAGTTTAAACCATGATTTTTCATCGTAAACTGCACCCACAAGTGTAAACAATTCTGATAATTTATTTACGAAAACGATCTAAAAATAAAGAACTTTAATCCAAATGTTTTTACAAATTTCTCACTTTCGTTGTATTCATATTGTTTCAGCCATTCTCGATTCTTTATGCAAAGAATTTCTCCCTGTGAAGGTATCAGCAATCCTCTACTTGATGAACTATGAGCAGTACGGTAGGAGTACAGCAAGTGCTCAGTATTTCCTTCAGCTGGCTGGGTATCTCGGCATTCCCGTGATAGCCTGGAATGCGGATAATTCCGGTCTAGAGAGGGTAAGATTTTTTTTTCTGCGAGAGATATTTGAAATTCGTGGAAGAATATTTGAAGTTCACCGGCCTCGTGGAATTACATATTTTCCCATCCCCTTTCTGCACAGAGAGCCTCGCAGAGCTCCCTTCAGCTGCAGCTGGCGCCGTCGTTGGAGCACCAGACAGCAGCAATGCTGAGTATACTCGAGCGATACAAGTGGCACCAATTTAGCATTGTAACATCGCAGATTGCTGGCCACGATGATTTCATTCAGGCTGTCAGAGAGAGAATATCCGACATGCAGGATACATTCAAGTTTACAATATTGAATGCTGTTTTGGTGACGAAACCCAATGACCTTATGGAATTGGTGAGCAGTGAGTCGAGGGTTATGCTGCTTTATGCTACTAGGGAGGAGGCAATACACATTCTGACAGCTGCCAGGGATCTCAAGATCACTGGGGAGAATTATGTCTGGGTTGCCACGCAGAGTGTCATCGAGAATCTTCAAACGTCCAATCAGTTTCCGGTTGGAATGCTGGGTAATACGCATTCATTTAATCGGCGTTTTTGCTATTTGTCTCCGTGACGGATCTGATTATTTCACGAAATCTTAAGTTTAAATTTTGTTTCACAAAGACCCAACAGCACAAATTCTTCAGACTCACAAATTATTCTTTATGTCATAATTTTACATTTTCTCATGTTTTTCAGGCGCGAAATTGATCAATTCTTCACTTTCGGAGTTTCATTTATTAACTCGAGTGCAGATCAATACGAAAATAATCCAGAGTATCAATTTTTTGTATAAATATGGTTCACGTCGTCTGAAGGGTCATGCAATTACACAACATCCGGTTGTCACTCGTAAAGCAGACGCAGGGGCTCTTCAAGAGAACCGACTCAATGCTTCCACTTATAAAACATCAAAGGGCTGTCGTTCACGCACGACAAAATTTGATAGGAAAACCTAGCGAATTCGCTTTTTCCATGCAATCTATTCTATTGACATATTTTCTACAGAATTTCCTCGACTCAAATTTCCAAGTTTTTTTTGTTGGATTTGCTTAATGAAAAGAAGAGGAAAATAGAATAAAAAAATTTGGAAAAGATTTGGCCCGAAGAAATTGTACAGAAAATATCTCAATAGAATTGGCCACAAACAAATAGGAAGTTCGATAGAAATCCTATAGAATTGTCTAGCGCATGCGCTAAATTTTTCTATTGATTTTGTTTTTTTTTTGAAAATTAGAGACATTCGTTCGGTTTCTCCTCGCAGCCAACAATTCTAGTAATCGACTCATGCCGGAAAAGTAATGAGGCGACTATTGGCACGCATTTCCCTCGATGTAACTTCAGCTCCTGCTGTTAAACCGGTGATATTGGAAGCCATTTTTCTTCGGGGTTTAATTTTTTTCTCTCTGTCTCGCTCGGCAGGCGTCCACTTCGATACCAGCAGCACAAGTCTGGTGAATGAGATCGCAACGGCGATAAAAGTGTATGCCTATGGGGTCGAGGACTTTGTGAACGATCGTCAAAATGCTCACCACAGCCTCAACACGACACTTAGCTGCGAGGGGCTGGGAGAGTCGAGGTGGAACACTGGTGATCGATTCTTCAAGTGAGTTACCGTAATTTGATCGATTAAAATCAGTAGCGAAGCGGTAAAACGATTGATATCGATTTAGCTCTGCTGAGTTCTCGGGGAATATCTCCCAATATGAGGGTGATGGCGAAATTTTCGTAATGACATTTTTTGTGGGGCGAATTGAGGGCTACAAAAAAGGTCATAACGAAAATTTTGCCGTCTGCTTTAGTTTCCGAGATATTTATTGAAGACTGGCCGATAATCAAAATCAAATTGAACCTTTTTACCGAATGAATCATTCTTTTGGCCATGTTTTTGTGAAATATGTGGATACCGTTAAAATTGTCGGCTGCAATTTCAGCTACACTACTTGCATTTTTTTTATCAAGTGAGAATTCCACTGAAATTTTAGGAATTCCGCTATTAAACGTTCAAAATTTCATGGAAAAATCAATGAAAAATGTCTATTTAACGTCAATTATTCCGCGAAGATTAGTACAAACAAAAAAATTGAGAAAAATATATTAATATTTGAGAATCCAGCATAATTTAGTAGTGAATATTTGCGTTTTGATTGAAATTCAAGCAAGTTCGGGAATTTCCCTCTTCTTGACGCGAGGGAAACCAAATAAACGAACAAAATCCATAAAAATTTGTATTTATTCTGCTCCAGATATTTGAAGAACGTCTCAGTAGAGGGCGACCAAGGTAAACCGAATATTGAGTTCACTCAGGATGGAGTTTTGAAAGCAGCTGAGCTGAAGATCATGAACCTGCGTCCTGGGGTCAGTAAACAACTCGTCTGGGAGGAGGTAAGTGACACCTTTGGTTCAATCAGCCAAATTTTTGGCTTTGAATAACTAAAAATCAGACGCCTGATCGAAACGATTTGGAAGTCCACTTGGCTCTTGTCTGGATTTTCCAGGAATATCTCCGAATCTAAAGGAGATACCGGAATTTTGGTCTCGAGCTTTTTTGTAGCTCTCAATTCACTCTACAAAAAAGGTTTAGTCAAAAATTTCGCTATCTGCCTTAGATTCCGAGATATTTATTGAAAACTGACCAGTGGTCACAACAGCATGGATTTGAGTTCGACTGCAATTCGATTGGATTTCGTTAATTGTCGCGTAATTTTTCCTGGCGTTTTTCGAAAATGACGTAATGGTTATCGAAATATTCAAAGAGCACGGGATTTCTTTGAGAGCCACATGAATTATGTTTACACACAGTCCGGAACTATTGGCCGCACTCAAACCAGTATTTACCTTTCATTTCCGCAGTATCCAACTTTGTCATTTTCGGTTGAAGAAATTTCCATTTGCCCCCGTCTCTCATTTACTCAGCCACATATAATCCGAAACTCGATAAAGGGACTCCAATATTACCCTAATACCTTGGGCGATAACACGTGTCTCATCAATGCGAGTTGTAAGCGGTCATTACTGAGATTAGGATGATTACATGTGAGCCGGGTTTACTCCGGAAAGTTTATTGGAAATAGAACAGGAGTACCTATCCCTAGCGTAATGGGTTATTCTCGGTTATTACACTTTTTAACAAGTTCAAGAGTTTATTTTGCTTACGAAGGAAGCTTTGTGATCATTCAAATTTCAAGTCTTGCATTTTTTTGCGTTATTTCCATTTAAATAATAATTGCCTCGTTATTTTTTTCATTATTCAATCGTTTGTCAATCTCATGGAGATTGACAAATTCAATCCTTCACACAGAAAAATGGTTTATTTGAATTATTAAACTTGTTTAGTCAATTAAGTTAATTTTATCCTCCACTTTCAATCATCAAATTTGTTAATTAAATTGCGTGAGAAAAATAAAAAGAAATATGAATATTCAGCGTCATTCGAATTGCACTTTGCACAGAATTATTATTTTTTTAAACATTCGTTTGTTTATAAATAAAATAATTAAAATTGGTTAAACTTTCGGAAACCTTATTTTTTTAGGCATAAAATCGATTTCTGGTAAAATTCTGAATATGAATAAATTTGTTACGATTCCGAACAGATGATTTTTATGGTGGAAGATTAATTGTTCATAAATTATTTATTTGTCAATTATTTTATCTATTTTCCTCTACAATTAAAATTTCTAATTTTTTTCAGGCTTGCAAAGTTCAAATAATAAAATAATCGCAAAATGTCGGGAAACATAGGATCAAATGGGGCTCAAATGGAAGCTTTAATGATTCCTTAAGCTTTTAACTCATCCTCTATTGCACTTGCTCACTTTTTATTTGAAAAAATATTTTTTATTCAGTGTCTGATAAGTTATATTCTATTTTATTTCAACGAATTTATAGATTTATTCAGATGTCTCCCCTGTGAGACAGGTGAATAAATAATAATAAAAATTCTAAAAATTAAATAAACTCCATTTGAAACAAATAAAATAAGTCTGATTAAATTAAACTATTTTCCTCCGTGTACGCGAAGAAAATGGCGAGAAACGTGTGAAGAAAATAAACATGGCGCTTTGCAAATACTGTCATTTGCTAGGATTTGTGAATAAAAATCGTTAACCTGGATTCACGTTTTTACGGATGTGCTTTATCTCCTGGGTGTTGTGAGTAGCTTTTATCTGTGCATTCCCAGTCAAGGTTGATCGGTAATTTTGCCACCCGCGGTATCGAATGCCAATACGCGAAGCCATGTCACGAGAAATATCACATTCCAGGGATATTCGTACAATGTCAGTGAGTGCTCATCGGTGTTTCGAGGAGCTGTGTCCTCGTCGCCCGCCAGTATTTAGCTCTGTTACTCTTTTTTCATGAATTCATGACGCAAACGGCTTTTCCCGATTTTTTTTTAAACGTCGACAACTCACTGACGCGGCAAAAAATCAACAAAAAATTGTAGAAGAGGACGGAGACGAGGGAAATAACGCCCAGTGGATTTCAGTTACGACAGAAATTCCATACCGTTGATGTTCTAGTTAATGCCGCTGAAAGCTTTTCGCGTTTTTAATGAGTGTCAATTTTTTTTTATTTATCATTTCAGTAGCGAAACGGTGAAACGGTTCAAGTCAATTTTGACTATTGGTCAGTTTTTATTGAATATCTCGGAATCTAAGGCAGATAGCACAATTTTTGTTATAACCTCTTTTGTAGCTCTCAATTCGCTCTACAAAAAAGGTTCTCACAAAAATTTCACTATCTCCCTTAGATTTGGAGATATTTTTCGAAAACTCAGCTAAGAGCTAAGTCATCTTAAATCGGATTACCGCTTCGCTACTGATTTGAGATTTCGGCCATTTTACAATGGTGTTATTATTTAAACTTTGTTCGTCTGAATTTAAAGCTTGACATTGTTGAATAGCAAATGGTAGAAAACATTTTAAAAGTCTGAAAAAAAATTAGAAAGCTTACTTTCGAAATCGCCTGAAACCCAAAAAAAAAAACTTTCCGAAAATTTAACCAATGTCAATTATTCATTTATAAACAACGAATGTTTCAAAAAATAATAACTCTGTGCAAAATTTATATTCATGATTTTTTTAAAATTTCCTACGCAATTTAATTGACAAATTTTATGATTAAAAATGATTGAATCTATATTGTCTGTACCAAACTGTAAAAGCTACTTAGATATTCTTAAATCGAATTCAAGTTCTTTCTCCGGAAAATTCCGCCAAATTTGTTCAATAGTCCATTCATAAAGCTGTATTGAAAGATTAAAATCTCATCCTCCTACTAAAAAATTTAGAAATCCATTACATCAAAAAATTTCTTTCATCATTGATACAGACTGAATTGGACATTTCATATGGACGAAGTGCTTTTTTCACAAAGTCGTTTTGGATGAACATTTTTAGAACAAATGTACCCTTTATTAATTCCACGCCAGGATCTTTGCTAAACAAATGCGTAAAGATCGCTGAATAATCCACCAATAATTGATTAATGTTGAAGATTGGCGTGTGGAAGTCTTGGCAGAAGGAGGGACTGGACATAAAGGACATAGTTTGGCCGGGCAATTCGCACACGCCGCCCCAGGGTGTCCCCGAGAAATTTCACTTGAAAATAACCTTTTTAGAGGAGCCACCGTATATCAACTTGGCCCCGCCCGATCCCGTCGGTGGCAAATGCCTGATGGATCGAGGGGTTCATTGTCGGGTCGCCAAGGAAGCTGACATGGCTGAGTAAGTATTGTCCGTAACAGGAATAAACGGCCTAAAGTTGCCCACAACACTGACTCCACGAAGAATAAACGAAAGACTGGTAAAAACTTTGTTATTATGTTAGGGAGGGTTAACCCTGGGGAACAGCGAGGTCAATGAAGGGACGGTATATTAACTTGAATTTCGTGTACAAATGCAGGATGGAGCGAAATAAAATGACGGAGCTATCGTTGATGAGTCTTTGTGATGTGTTATAGATAGCAATTCAAGTCTTCACTGGTTTTTTCATGTTATATTTTCATGTTATATATGTATGACCGTATTATGGCGAATTGACGAAATTCACGAAAAAATTCTCCTCCGTCTCTCCCTCGAAAAAGAAAACAAGCAGAAAATTCCTCTTGTATTGCATATAGTGCAGTTATTTTTGCTAATAAATTAGCAATCCGCTTCCGAATGGTTATTTTACACATTATTTCCTTCTATCATGTATAATTCATTGTTTATTTTATTTTATTAAATTGAATAAAATTTATTTTCAACTAATTTTGTCAGATTTTTAACTCATTTTTAATGTTATTATCATTATTCTTATTATCCCGTTTTCTATGCAACCTATTGTTTTTTTTACGGTTTTATCTCTCCCCTCAGTCCTTCGATAGAATGCTAATAGAAAATTTTCATTTATATCTACTTGAATGAATTTGAATCAACACGATTGAAGAAACCGACAGAAAGCTCTATTTCAGGGGAAAAAATCCAAAAATTAATTTTTTTACAAATTTTCAAATTAATCAAAATAACGAATATTGCTGATTAATTATTTCAATAATCATCAATTTAAATTTTCAAATTTTGAACTATTTTATTAATCAATAATTTAGATAGGAAGATTTCCGATTATTTGGTCAATTGGTAATCCCTTTCAAGACATTAGAATTATTTGCTTAATGAAAAATTCACATTATCAAATCAGTCCCACGTTATCAAATATTTAATTCATCACCAATCGCAAATTCCTTTAATATTGATGAAGTTTAATATTAACTTTTGGATCACACTGGTTCGATTTAACCCAAAAAATTCAAAACTCAAATTTGAACGATTACAAAGCTTCCCTTCCCTTCGAAAAGAAAAAAATCTCCCTAATTCATCGGACATAAAATTCTATAATCACAACAAAATAGTGACAGAGTTCGAACTTCCCCTAGAAGCCTGCAAATACCCCTGGGCTCCGAGCCCACAGAGAGAAGCCCCACTTTGTGCCACCAAGGAAGCATCAACTTTCCTCGTGCCAAGAACTTTGAGAAGTTACTGTCACATCACCCAGTGAGTGGCCATCTCACCGAATGTCTGACTTTCTTGAATTGCATGGAATTAGTCCAACTCGAAGAGCTGCTCTGCAGTTATCTGCACTCTCTCATTTAACGTAATAATAAACCTCTTTCGTGAAACGTAATACTTGAATCGGTGTTGGTCAGGGTTTACAGCACAATTGCCAGGTATGCACTTATTGAGTGCCGCAAAAAGCCAGGAGAACTGACCTCGTAAAGTTATTTAGTACCGTATGGCTCTCAATGTGACTCACGTTGATTGAAAATCACAGGTGAGGTTTCACCATAAATTCTTTTATCCATGTGTTTATTATCCCGCAACAGATGGAGAATGAGAATAGAAAAAAGTTTCGAGTTTCCAGAACCAAATTACAAGTAAAGAATTAAATTTTTCCCCATTAACTACAGTGATTCTTGCTAATAAATTAGCAATTTGCTTCCGAATGAATTCTTGTTTATTCTCAATTCTTATTTCACTCTATTTCAAATCTTATTGTTTCTCAATTTTTCTTCGTATTTAACTATTCTCTTTGTCTCTTTTTCACGCCATCATGAATTAAAATGCCATCAAAATTTTGTAAACAATCAGGAATGTAATATATCATAATCGAAACATCCAATTATCCAGTTGGTCCATATTGCAGAGAACCCAATAGCCTCCCTATTACACGCTGTACCACAACGATTTATTCCTCACGATGCCCTTGTTCAATATAAACCCCGGGAATTGTAGTCGTGCAAACCAAAACGACTGAGTTATCATTTTTTCCTCTCCACAAATGGTGAAACCGTGAAAATCGTTTTAGCTAACTGAATCTCCCCTGCAGGTACTCGCCTATCGACAGACGAGAGTTCATCGAATTGGGAAATACCGTGGTTTCTGGTATAATCTTCACTCAGCCCTTAACTATTGAATTCAATCTGCCTCGAACCGTTGAATTGATATTGGTAGAAATGAATCTCGTGGCTAGGAAATTGGAAATTAATTTATCGAACGATAAAACATTCCCTTATCTTCACAATACCCAGCTTCATTACATCTCATTCTTACGTTTTATTTCTCCCCTCTGGCTCTGATTGTGAACCAAATTTATTTTTACATGAGAACATACAGTGGAAATTTTCTCTCTCGTAGAGTTTTTGATAAAGAGAAAATTCATTCATTTCACTCATTTAATTCATTTAATTCATTCCATTCATTTCATTCATTTCATTTATTCCACTGCAGTTTAATTCATTTCATTTCAATGTATAACCCAATAAATAAAAAATAAACAATAAATGATTGTACAAATCAAGATGAAATCAGAGCAACGTCTTTACTAAATTATACGCCTTATGAATGAACGTGACATGCAATTTCAATAAATTATGCTGACCCTTCACCAACAGCGTGAAACAAAGGATTGGAGACCCTCCCTATCAGATTCCAATTAATCGCAGTTTGCGAAGAGTGTAGAACAAGAAAAAAAAACCGGTTGAAGGGCAGAGACGTTTGAGCAAGCTTTGTTCTTTCAAACCCCTGAGGGTATGAGTGACGGTGCAACACGGAGCTCGACAGCCCATGGACAATGGGTGTTGGGCGAATTTCAATTGATGCTAATTAAACCTCTCTCGTCCACGCTAACAGTTAAATTCATCACGGGTGGAAAATTAATTTTCCAGGAAAATTATTTCAATCAATGGGGATTTATCCGGGAATTCTCGTCACATCGGGGGATGATTGGCGTTGACCGAGGTTCCTCGCATCACCGGAGATCACCCTTTATTTTCATTCTCATAGATAGGATATGCTGAGAAATTTCCGATATTATCGAAGTTACAGGCGGTGGGAGATGAGTCTATAAAATTGAAATTCATAACAGTTTCACCAATGTTGGGAATTGGAGTTTTATCGGTGAGAACGAGACAAAATATTCTATCAGTTTTTTTATGAATTTTCATTGGGAAAGTTGATGAATCCAATGGGATGAGTCAATTCTAACTTTCTAAAGTTAAAATTTCACCAGAGAATTCTGAGAGAAGTAAAAACAAGTGGGAAATTGCTTTCGTTTGAACATAGTCAACATATTTTCGATAATAAATTAGCAATTTGTTTCATAATGGAATTTCTGTGATGATGAATTCAGTAGTGACGCGGTAAACCGAGTTAAGTCGATTTTGACTATTAGCTAGTTTTTGCTGAATATCTCGGAATCTAAGAGAGATAGCAAAATTTTTCTTATGACTTTTTTTATAACGCTCTATTGGCTCTACAAAAAAGGTCGTGACAAAAATCTTTCTATCTCTTTTAGATTCCGATATATTCGTCAAAAATTAGCCAATAGTAAAAATCGACTTAACCCGGTTTACCGCTTCGCTACTGAATTTTAGATTAAATTTAATGGCTCATTGAATCGAACATTGCCCCGACATTGCCCCAACGTTCAATTTTTTACCTCCCCCTGAATATTGGCTTCAAAATAAATTTTTTCAATGACAGTAAAATCATGAATTTTAATTATGTAGAATTAATTGATCTTCACAAAATCATAAATTCAGTAATTGCAGCCGAATCATGTCCATGTATTGGCATAGTTGGTGCCCGTTGCCATATATAATAAGCAAAAACTCCCCGAAATCCGAATTGCCACTTTATCCTTGAATCCCATACGAAATCTCCCTGCACGTACTTGCGATGGTAATAACGGCGAGTACGTGTTGGACGTGCTACGTAATTTATCGCCACTACTTTCCCAAGTTTAAATCACATCCCAAGGTTTCTCTATGAATTTTCACCCCGAGTAAAGTTCATAAGACCTCGGTGTAAATTAAATCAACAATGCGTGAAGTTTCGATGAATAATTTTCGTTGAGCATTTTAATGGAGTAGCAACGAAACAATTGGGATAAAATAGTTACTTTCCTCGATGAATTAAAGCGCTCCGTATACTTTGTGTTCGACTATCGGAGCGACCATGTTGGGAATAGAGTGGGAAACTGGGTTTAAGGAACTTTTGGAGAACTGCCAGGAGAATAAGTGGAGAACTGTCGGGGCTGTTAAACCCAGCGAGTAGTAACCACTGGGGATGGTCAGCCGTGCGATAACTTGTGGCTTGGACGATTCCACCTAAGCCAGAACTACAATTATGTACGATATTATTTCGGGGGCTGTGTGTTATGGTCTGGAAACATTAATTGCGGAGGAAACTTTTTTGGATGAGGATTTGAGGGGAAGGGAGGAAGGGAGCGGTTACATGACTCTTTCTTCCACTCGCAATAGCTCGCAATCTACTGGAGAAAGTTTGTGGAAGTGCCTTTTCAGTTTCGAATGAAATTGACTTCTTTCAATTTTCGCCTTTGATTCCAGCGATATTGAAGGATGGGAAGGTTCATTTGATTCTTTTTTCTCGTTCAAATTTTGAAAAAGAAAAATTTCGTTCAAATTTGAGATTTTGATTTTTTGGGTTATATCGGGCCATTATGAGTCAAAAAGTCCGGAAATGCCATTCTCAGAGCTTCATCAGTCGACGTTAATTAAAATTTAATTTATACATTAATTGTCAGAATTTTAGAATTTTTTCGAAAATCGGTTGCCCCGCGATAACTAAAAAAATATTCTGAATTCATTGAATGATGGTTTAAAAAATTGTTTCGACATCCCTTTGATCGCGTTCGAAGATGAAGGCGAGAGTAATAATTGTTATTTTGATTTATAGAATAATTTTCAAAATTTCATTTTTTTTGAAAATGAGAATTCCAGAGATCTCTTTGGATATCATGCTTCAAATTAATTCAATTATGCATCAAATAAGTTCTTCTAATATTATTTTATCGAAGTTTCCAGATAATATGAATAGCACTCTTCTTTCATTTGATTTATACGATAATTTTCACAAGAAATCTGACACAATTGATTAAAGAAGAAATATAATTAAATTTAAAAAATAATATAAAACGATAAATGATGTAAGACAGACGAAACTGATGCGCAAAATGACATTCGCGAGCATATTCATTAGCAAAAATAGCGATGTTATACAAAGAAAAAAGTAACTTTCCAAAACCCACGCATGAATTCCACAATTTTCACCAGTACCTACTGTAAGTCAATATCCGGTGAATATTCAGAGTGCAAGAATTACTCTCCAACTATCGATTCTAATTGCGGCCAATGTTATACAGAATACCGTCCTAGCGGTTTAATTCCCTTTTTTTTATTCCAGAATGGATATCCAATCAGCCCAGCGAAATGAAAGCGTTTACCAGTGCTGCAGTGGATTCTGCATTGATCTGCTCCAAAGATTTTCCGAGGAAATTGGATTTACGTATGAGCTCGTCAGGGTCGAGGACGGTAAATGGGGGACGTTGGAGGTGTGTCCACATTTTTCTATTGAGAATCAATTGAATGTTATCAAGTGGGGGGAATAATAGCTCCAACGAGAGCTAGTCCAGCTCATGTTCCACGACGAAATTTAAATTTGGAAGATAATTCCATGCATTTTCAAGTAGTAAAACTATCTTTTGCGTTTGATCATCCAATAAAGCCTAGTAAATTTGGCATTTTCAGAACCTTTTAATGTTTTTTTTTATTAAAAATGAATGGATCTCAAATGAATGAATTTATATAAACAATTCCCCCGCCATTTTGACTGTTCATTAGAATGGAAAATGGAACGGTCTGATCGCCGACCTTGTGAATCGTAAAACCGACATGGTACTAACATCCCTCATGATAAATTCCGAGAGAGAAGCAATAGTTGACTTTACAGTGCCTTACATGGAGACTGGAATTGCCATTGTCGTAGCCAAGCGAACGGGCATCATCTCGCCTACTGCGTTTCTAGGTGAGAAGAACCTCACAGTGAGTCTCCCACAGCATGTCGACGAATAAAAATTTATATTGATTTTTTTTAATCCAGAGCCTTTCGACACCGCCTCATGGATGTTGGTGGGTATCGTTGGAATTCATGCTGCCACTTTTATGATTTTTTTGTTCGAGTGGCTGTCACCATCAGGCTTCAACATGAAGGTAAAAATACAAGCCCTGTTTGATTCTGTTTACCATCGTTTTTCTCATGAAAAACGTTTTTTGCGGTAGAATGGAGAGCTTCAATGCAGAGAGTTATATACAATTTCAGATGAATGGAAGCCTTGACATTTAATATCTACAAAACGCAATTGGAAACTAATTCATTTGACAGTTTCTCTGGCGTTATGTTTTTTTAATATCGATTATTCGATGAACACTCAAAAAAAAGTATAATTAATGATGGAACGAAGACCTCGTTCAATTCTTTCAGTTTGATATCGAATTACTTGCGAAATTGTAAAACGGTTCAAGTAGATTTTGACTACTGGCCAGTTTTCAGTGAATATCTCGGAATCTAAGGGAGATAGCAACATTTTTGTCAGCACCATTTTTATAGATCTCAATTCGCTCTACAAAAAAGGTCATTACAAAAAATTCATTATCTCCCTTAGATTCGGAGATATACCTCAAAAATTCAGCTGAGCCATAAATCAACTTGAAACTTCTACCGCTTCACTACTGAAATATAAATAAAATCGCCTGGCTTTTTCCCAATATCTTCTTAAAAATTTGAGAGATCATATTTGCAGAATCACAAAAAAATAATTTGTGAATTAAATTGAAAAAAAATTGCATTCAAAATGTGCAATTATCCACTCGCTCCATTTAATTCCAGACGAATCCATCTCCAAATCATCGTTTCTCCCTTTCGAGAACATACTGGCTAGTCTGGGCAGTGCTATTCCAAGCTGCTGTACATATTGACTCACCGCGAGCATTCACAGCGAGGTAAATAAATCGAGATAACGCTAGAATTGGTATCTTGAGCCGACCTAGAAGCGTTTCAAACTCGCAGATCGATTCCACATGTTCAACTGAATACGCAACTGTCTAAAGGCTGTACACTCTTTACACTCAATGCATTATACCATCGGAGTAATTATAAGCGTGGAGATGAATTCTATCGAGAGCTGAATAGGAGAGACGGGGGATTTTAATTAATCCTGTCGTATCAATGCGATGAAAGCGATTACGGTTGCTTCAGGACCGTTGATTATTAACAAAGAAATTTTTGCACTCAACGCGCTCTGTTAATTATTCATTAATTATTGAGTGAACGGTAGAGTAGTGAAACAAAAAAATCGGAACATGTGGACTTTGTTTAATAAGCAATAATCTCAATCATGAATAATCCTGAGCAAAATTTGAATAGAGTTTCATGTCCGGATTTTATTCACTTGAAAAAAAATTCTCAATGGAATATTGCTCCATGGCCAATGTAATCTTCATGAGACTCCTGGGGAAAATCAAATTATTTTCAACATCCCCTACAGAAGATTTCAAACTGTCCCTTTTCTTTCGTAAAAAAGCAATTATGCACTTGTTTCATTATTCTTCTAGACTTTATCATATTCTAGACCATTAACCAACACATCCCTCAACAGATTCATGACCAACGTCTGGGCCATGTTCGCTGTCGTGTTCCTCGCCATTTACACTGCCAACTTGGCCGCCTTCATGATAACGAGAGAGGAGTTCCACGATTTCAGTGGTGTTGATGACCCACGACTAGCAAAACCATGGAGCCACAAGCCAATGTTCAAATTTGGCACGACACCTTGGAGTCACACCGACAGTACACTAGCCAGATACTTCAAGGAGATGCACATGTACATGGAGCCGTTCAATAAGAGCAATGTATTCGAGGGTATTGACGCTGTTATCAGTGGGTGAGACCATTGCTCGACTAATCGAATTCAGAAGGATTTTTCGGGACATAAATCACCGATTTTGTTCGTCATAATGAATAAATAAATAAATTAATAAATTAATAATTGGAAAAATTCAGAAAACTTAGATATCAATGACGAACAATCAAGCGAATTCACTAAAAAAAAATTTCAAATTTCTATTGGATTTCTATTAGACATTCTGTACGTTTTTGGCTCATTCTATTTTGTAAAAAAAACTGTAGAATTTCATCTTTCTAAATAATTTTTTCGATTGAGACATTTTCTATAGGAATTTTTCAGTATAAATGTTCTTTTCTTCTCCTCTCGTTGAAAATTTCGTTGAAAATCAGGCGAAAAACAAAAAATTCGAGCCGAGGAATTTCTACAAAATTTTTTAATGAAGTCACATAAAAAAATTAAATTCTATTGTAGACAGTAAATTTTGAAGTTCAATTGATTGTTTCAATCGAGAGAATATCCAAAATTTATCTGGAAAAACAATTAATAAATCGAACGAAGAGACGAGAGTTAATATTATATCGGAATTAATTCAATAGTTAACATTATCGGAGGAAAAAGTCAATAATTATTGAAATTAAATTTTCGAAGAGATCTCGATGCTTTCTTCTACGATGGAACAGTCTTGGATTATTTGGTAACCCAAGATGAGGATTGCCGATTATTAACCGTGGGCTCGTGGTACGCAATGACTGGTTATGGTCTTGCATTCTCGAGGAACTCTAAATACGTTGAGATGTTCAACAAACGTCTGCTTGACTATCGAGAAAACGGTGAGGCTTTATATTTCAAGTCCTTTGAAGTCTAGTGTAATAGTTATTAATTGATTTCGTCAAACGAGAGACTATTGCCCGCAAAAATAATTGAAGAAAAATTTGACAGATCAATTTTTTGAGACACATTGAAGTCAAAATTAATATAAAAAAATTGTGAATCAGTAATAATATTTTTTTTTGTAATTTCTAATTTTTCCCCTCGTTATAACTTCGGTTTTTAAAAACAGGGGATTTGGAGCGATTGAGAAGATACTGGATGACAGGCTCATGTAAACCAGGCAAGGAAGTACAAAAAAGCAGTGATCCACTGGCCCTCGAGCAATTTTTGAGTGCATTTCTGCTGCTGATGGCGGGAATACTTCTGGCAGCTTTTCTACTGTTCCTTGAGCATCTCTACTTCAAGTACATCAGGCATCATCTGGCAAGGAGCGATCGGGGCGGATGCTGTGCCCTGATCAGCTTGGTGAGCCCGAAAACTTATCGTTTTTGTCATCTTTTCGATAAGAACTTATTATGGAATTGGTTTCCCCAGTGGAAAATGAATTATTTCGAAAATAAATCGTTTTGAAACTTTTCACAGTCGAGAATTTTGTGGAAAAGAAAATCTTGAAACCTATTCGCCTACTATTTTTTATAAAACAATCTTGGATATGAATTTTCCACTTTTTTTCCTAATTTTGTAATTGGAAACAAATAAAACCGTCAAGAAGAAATATAGAAAAATTACAATCTATTAATTATTTTCTACTGAAAAACAAAAAAATGAATTGTAAGTTATGATTAATTTTTATTTGAATTCTCTCAATTTGTCCGGACAAATGCGAAACAAAAAATAAATTATTTTGAAATTCGTCAAATTCAAAAATGTTATGCAACAGAAGATCCTCAAAATTTAAAAGTGGTTGATTTTTCTATAAAACCTATTCTTTTACTATATTTTTCTATTAAAAAAATTGAATTTCTCCAAGTATTGTAATTGAATTCCACTGGAATATGAATTCCATAAAACTCTCCATCGAAACTCCCGTACAACAAAAATGAATTGTAAATGATAAATTATAATTTATAATTTATAATCAACTTTCATTTGAATTGTCTCAATTTGTCTGACTAGAGCATGGGTAAATCCCTGACATTTCGTGGCGCTGTATTCGAAGCGCAGGACATTATCCGTCAGCACAGGTGTCATGATCCAATATGCGATACACACTTGTGGAAGGTGAAACACGAATTGGATATGGCGAGGATAAGGATACGACAGCTGGAAAAAGACCTCGAGGCGCATGGCATAAAGCCCAGCCAGCCCAGGTAAACATATCAATTTAATTTCAAATGCATATATGGAGAAAGTGAAATAAAACGACGAATTCGAACACCAAAAAATAAATTGCATTCCCCTAAACTCACGTTCTCAACGAGAAATGCAAGCATTATCTGGTTTAAACAGTACTGAGAACGGTAGCTCTGGAATAAAATTCTTTTGTGAATTGGTTGTATTTTGTGAATTAACGTCACATACAGATCTCTGCGAATGCTCTCCTAAATTGTGCGGAAATTGAATTTTGAGGAACGTACCTTTAGAATATAGTCTATAACGGTAAAGTCCTCGGTAAATTGAGTTGAGTTCTCGGGTTGTACATTGAATAAGACCCCCCCTGCACTGATAGTTCCAAGGGTTTGACCTATTTTAAGATTTCTTGAATTGTGCTTCTGTTCTATCTACTCTATATCATTATGGTCTATATTATAACACTTCAGCATGATGTGCAGAACAGAGTTATTGAAAGTATTTCAGGAGTTTTGAGGATATTGAGGGTCTCTGCGATGAAATTGCATTTCTTAATTTTTTTAATAATAAAAAAAGGCTTTCGTTTACTTTGAAACTAATCATCATCATTTTTTGCAAATTAATTAGCAATATACTTCCGAATTGTAATTTCGCTCATCATTTTATTCTGTCGTACATCAATAGTGTTAGATTTCTGGTGAAAATTCGTATAAAAATCAAATGAAACAATTTTTTAAGTCATCACTCAATGAATTCAAAATTTTTTTTAGTTATTGCGGGACAACCGATTTTAAAAAAATTAAAAATTATAAAAATTAATGTATGAATTGAATCTTAATTGACGTCGATGGATACCTCAACAACACCTACATTTGAAAAAAATGTTAAATTCAAGTGGACCCAATAGGAAAAGTTTCATAGAAAAATAAAATTCTACGCATTTTTTCTGTAAAATAGTTTCTATTGAACATCCTCTGCAGAAAAAAATGGGCAGTAACGTTGCGGCATTTTTCACTAAAATCTACTGAAATCTAACAGCATTTTCATCACAAAAAAATTAAAATTAAAATTAAAAATTGATCTTTCGAATCCGCTCGATCCGCCGAATATCCTCAATAATTCTTCATTAATTCAATGGCTCTATGAGTGTAATACTTTATTGATTCGCACCTATGGCATAAGCTCACAAAAAACTGAATTTCCAGTAAAATGTTTCCAACTTTACGCACAAATTTCTTTTCATATTTTCCTATTTCTGTGTTTTCGATTAAATTTTTTACGGTAATAGAGTCGATTTTTCATTAATAAATCGAAAATGTATTTACGAAATCTCTCGCCACAATGTAGAAGGCAAAAAGATATTTAATTAGAAAGAAACGATAGGGGAAGTGTTCGTGAGTATGAGAGAAAAAAAGTGGCGATATTCCGAAACGGAATTTTTTAAAGGAGAAGGCCGGAGAAACTAGGATGGTGGCGTGGCTGCCTGCAGCCAGCGATACCACCTCACATCGAGAGACTCGCTGTTGAGGCGCCTCATCCCCTTCCACCGTATTTCGATTCGTAAGTCCAGAGATGTGAATTTCTACGAATGCTCGATTAGATAATTTAGACGATAAAATAGGGCAGCTGGCTTAGCTCCTAAAGTGATTGCACGTTCCTGAGATTTCCTCATTCGTAGGCATGGTGTGGATGCAATGGCGATGGTAGAAGTGTCACTGATATTCATTATCTCGAGATATTTTAGGGGAAGAGAAATCTCTGATTGTGGTTTGCAATATTTTAGATACTTAGATGCTGTCGAGGTGTCACGGCCTAGGGATATGACGAGAAGCATGGTAGCCAGCACGGAATTCGCGGAGGGATTTTTGCCAACAGAAATTTATAGGTATTTTAAGTTTTATTATTCGAGGCGAATTCGACATTTGAATTGAATAAAACTCTTTGGTATGAATTTTCATTCGTTTCGACGACTTTTTCGTTGGAAATTCCTGAACTCATTCATCAATGATTAAATAATTAATCCATTGGATGAATAATTTAGTTATTTCAAATGAAGAAGTAGACTGTTGGAAAAAATTGGAAATTTTGTTACAAGTTTAGTAGTAATTTTCAGAGAAGTAATCCTTTTAATTCTACTGGACATTGGATGGAACTTTAAATTTTTTAACTGAAGGAAAACGAAAAAATCAATATTTAGTGCCTAATTACACTGAATTTTCAATTAATCGAAAACTTGGGTATTTATTGACCTGAATTTTAGTGATTTCGATTAATTTTTATCGAAAAATTGAACTGAAATTTTAGTTTATTGATTCATTCATCAAATTATGGATTTAAACCAAAAATCAAAACCAAAAAAACCTTGTTCGAAAGTTTCCGAAGTGTTAAAATGAAATTTTCTATTGCCTATCTATCTATAAGTAATCGTAAGATTTTTAATTCTACTGGACATTGGATGAAACTTTAAATTTTTGAATTGAAGGAAAACGAAAAAATCAATATTTAGTGCCTAATTACACTGAATTTTCAATTAATCGAAAACTTGGGTATTTATTGACCTCAATTTTTGTGATTTCAATTAATTTTTATCGAAAAATTGAACTGAAATTTTAGCTCATTGATTCGTTCATCAAATTATGGATTTAAACCAAAAATCAAAACCAAAAAAACCTTGTTCGAAAGTTTCCGAAGTTTTAAAATGAAATTTTCCGAAAAACTCAATTTAAAATCTGTAAAATCTCATAAGTCTCGAAACTATCAAAGCTCTCAAGTTAATATAACAAATCTCAAAATAATATTTCTCTCATTTCGGCTCAATATGAATAAACGAAACGAATAATTCATCCCTAAAACCCTGAATCTTCTGTTATGCCCAGGCTTCCAGAGGACGACTCCACACGAACAGAGATAGCGGAAATAGAGACAGTTCTGTGATGAAAGGGAATAGCCGGATGTGAATTATACGTGTGAACCAGCTTTGAGTGTTCTTGCCGTCGAGAATCGTTAAGTGTTGAATTAAAAAATTACGGGATAAAAAGGGATGAAACATCCACTGCATGAGAAACAATTCAATGAAGAAGGTGCTGTTCCGTTCCTCGTGGAACAGCATCAGAAAATGGAGAGAATGAACTCACATTGAGACGATAGTATCAGTTTGGAGTACATTGGAATTGAGGAGAAATAGCTCCGCCCAATATTTTTGATTATCCTTCAGTGCCTCAGGTTCGAGTAATTTCGATATTTGCGTGGCTATTAAATCAACTCCATTTTATTTCTTCTATGTTTGAATTTGCATCAAGGACGAGGATGTCATGGGAATCACCCTACAGATTTTCGAAAAGATAACACGTGTGACAACATTTAACAGAAAAATTCTATTGGCGTTCTATTAAAATTACGAGAATTTTACTGCAATTCTATGAAAAATTAATTTATTATTGATATTTGCGATGGAAAAAGTTCATAGAGAGTGATTTTGTTGCAGAAATTATTGAGTATCAATTTTTATAATCCTTTCTGCTGTAATTTTTCTTATTGCAACATTTAAAAAAATGAAAAAAATTAGAAATCATGAAAAAATCGAGAAATGCAAGCGCAAAAAATTCTTAGAAAATAGGATAATTCTCCAATAGAATAATTATTTGGGGATATTTTGATAGAAATTCTTGTGAATGTATTTTCTCCCTTTTTTCTTGAATTTTGTAATAAAATATATATTTAAAAAAATTCAGCGAAAGAAATAGAAAATTTCTGCTCAAGAATTTCGACGGAAAGAATCTCGAGAGAATTCATATAAACAATTAAAATCTATTGCCATTTTCCTGTAAAATATCTGTGCCGAAAGCATAATGTTTCATAAAAAACAGCAAAAAAAAACAAATAAATTTTTTAAATAGAATTTCAATGGAATGAAATAATTTTTTAGAGAATGCGATAAGTTTTTCCACTAAAGGTCTCCAACCTCGAATCTCCTTAATTTCCTTCTTTTCTAATCGACTGTGGGAATATGCTAGGGCAGTATGAAATACTAAAAAAAACCGAAAGAAATTTGAAAAGAATTTTTACGAAATTTCTCCGAATGTGGAGGAAGTTGAGCATTACGGGTGGTTAGTTCTCCTCCAAAAGAACAATTTCAATCCGGAGAGGTAATTCAGAAGGTGCCACAAAGCCAAACCATCTGTGAATAATCAAAACCTCGCCCTGACCCCTAACTAACACACGAACAAACTTCTATGTACCATGATCAACAGAATATTAAAAATATATGTCGATTAAAGTTTAGAGTAAATACATTGGATACATGTTTAAAAATATATGGATATGCGGCGATAGTATATTTAAATAACATAGATAATGGATAAAAAAATACATACTATATTCTAAAGATGAAGCGAATGACGGAAAACTCATTAAAACACATGCTCAAAAAAAAAACTAATTTTTCTCATAATTTATATATTCTGAGAAGAAAATTGAATGTATATTCTGTACCACGAGTCATTGAGTTGAGCTGTAATCAAAGCTTATCAGCTGCCAGTACGTACCTCCCGTTATTATGTATTTGTACTCTGAGAATTTTTTAACGAATATTTAATGTCAAACGAAAGAAACTAAACGGAGGGGCTTTCGCATTTGTCACACGCCGGTATGACCTTGTGGCCACATTAGAATCACTGAAGTCACCGAAATCACGTAAATCACGGGACTAAGTTAATTAATCATTTGGAACTAATTTTTTATCGTTATTTTACATCGCTCTGATTCGGCGTTGAGTACACTGCGAAATCTGATCGACACTTAAAGGGGAGACTACTATGTTTTAAAAGTCGAGGGTCATTGGAATGAGATTTCTCACGCATTGAAGATCGATTATTTGCCTAAAGATGAATAATTAGCGCAAAAAATTAATTGTTTATTGTTCGTTTGCCCCGCAGACGCTTAAAATGTTGAAAATAGTCCGGGGCCTCCAATTTTTGAGCTGCGGTTTTTTTTCCAAAATTTTCGAAAAAATGAGGACAGTAACAATTACGAATTAGTTTTTTTAAATTCGACTCCTACAAAAATTGCACCATTCGTGTAAAATAGCTATTCTTTTCGGATATTTTCTATAGAATTTCCTCAAAGTGGGAAATAAGGCCTCTTTTGGCGAAATAAAATGACTAGTGTTGTCTCAATAAATACCTAAAACTACATAAATAATTATTTGCACTTACCCACTGCACCAGTCTAACGGGCCTTGTAATCGTGGTGTCACCCAATTCGAATGCGATAGCCCCTCGATCAACCTATAAAAAATCAAAATGATTTGCGTTACGAGAGATTGATATCGTGAGAAATTCGAAGTTAATTCCTAGAGTTAAGATGGTGAGTATCGCCTCCAATGGCTGTATGTAAGATATATGCCTCGCTATATACCCAAAATTGTGAGATGGATCAGTAATGGGGGCATTCAAATATTGCCGTCAAGCAAGTGGGGAAATGTAATTACGGGTGAGGTAATTTTTGAATGTTCCCTTAATGCAGTGGTGAATAAGTAATGAAATAGTTACAAGACAATTCGTAATTCTCTTTTGTTAGAAACGAAAACATTTCTTTCTAAAATCCCCACTTCCCAGATAATTTCGTTAATCAACATGATTAATTAATTTACGGTGTCAAGAGACTTTTTTGTTGGAAGAAAATGAACAGGAATGTTCAATTACTTCGAAAATTACTGATAATTCCTCCTGAAATTGCTCATTACGCAATTTAATATTCAAAAAGATGTCGATAATTGACTTGTTTCATTCCATTACATATCACCACTACTTCATTACTGAAACGAATCCTGCGCTGCGAAGAATTTTGAATATATTGTTGATGAAGATGATGATGAGAAGCTGTTGTTATTGTTGTTACTGTTAAAGATAAAGGACGGATTTAATCGTTAGGTCTGCAGACGAGACAGAAATTGAAGTATTCGTCTGTTCCATGTCTAACTACCGACTAGACGTTTCTAACTCATTCTTAAGATCGGAAATTCTTTATTTCCATTCTCGTTCGTAACAGGACAAATTTCTCGCTTCAATTTTTGTTTTTTCGTTGCGAATGACTTCGATGGAGTCGAGTAAAATTAGGGACGGATCAATTTCACTTGAGAGTGGTTCTTGGACATATCTCAATCTCGAAAAAATCCGGATCTGTTGCAATTCAGCATCGAAGCGATCAAACGATTCAAGTCGACTTGGCTCTTTCCTGAGTTTTTGAGAAATATCTCCGAATCTGAGCGAGATGGCGGAATTTTTGTAATGACTTTTTTCATAGCTCGCAAATCGCTCTATAAAAAAGGTTATAACAAAAATTTTACTGTCTGCCTTCGATTCCGAGATATCTATTGAAAACTGACCAATAGTCAAAATCGACTGGAATCGTTTTAGTGCAAACGCCACTGAATTGAATTCTGAGATATTTACTAGAAATTCAGCTTCAAGTGAAGTTTTCACTCAGTGTCACTCCCCTTCCAAACTCATTTGGAATATCATTTCTGCCATGAATCTGTGCACGAAAAAATTTCATAGAAAAAATCAATAGAATTTCATTTTTCTACACATCTTAAGTTTTTGAACAAATTTTTGAAGTTATTTTTTTTCTCCTCTCATTACAAAAAACAAACGTAAAAGTTTCATCGAAAATATCTCAACACAATAAATTGGATCAATAGATTGAATTCTATTGACGTAAAGTATTTCTTTTGAGAAAAAACGCGCATTTTTTGGTAGAATTGATGAAAAAAAATTTCCTGTGAAATTTTTCCGTGCGTTTATCCTCCACCTGTACAAATCCTCATTATTTCATGACTCAAAGCTCTTCCGATTCCTATTGATCACTTGGAAATTCATATTTTTCGTAATACTCGAGGTAAAAATGAAGTATTGAATTAACAGATAAAAACTTGAGGACAACGAAACAACAGAAATTAGTCAATCAATCATATGTTCGTCAGAGCACGTAGTTTTTTACTCTGGAAAAATTCTCTCTCTCTTTCCTTCTACTGTAATCATAAAACTATGATTCAGAACTTGAGGGGTGAAACCAGGTGATTGAATCGTCAAGAAATCGATTTGAATTAAAAAAATAATTACATGTTACAGCTAATTAATTTTTTCTTCAAAAACCTTCTCTATAACTAGATGAAAAACTAAATTTGCTAACAATTAATGGTAATTTTATATTACGCGTTGGAAAACTCATCGATTGTTTCACATTTGATGGAAAAAAATAAGAATTAAATTCTTATTTTCAACGAAAATATTCCAAACTATTGATGTTTTAATAAATTTCATTTTGTCCCAAGGAAAAAGACCGTCACAAAAATTATAAAAAATCTGCATTTGCATAAGAATTTGAAAATCAAAAAGACGACCGTGACTTTCACGTACCCATTTTACCCCTGAAGTACTGAATTTTCTAACATAGCTAGGTATGCAATGAATATTATCTACTGGACCTTTTGTACTGAATAAAAATCACGAAGTATCGAAAAAATAAAACCGAAACTCGGAAACTGTCCAATCACTAGGCGAGAATAATGAGAGTAATGAAAGATGGATAACATGAAAATAATGTAATGAATCTTGTGCCCACCAGAAAATTGCTGACGTGTTAAACCAAGTAATCACTACGAGTATATGTACGAAAGGAGCAAAATGTTTTCTCGTGTATGTGTATTTTTCATATAAATATGTAAGTCGTGCTTTCCTGTAAATAGCCATTTCACACTTAAATCTCCTAGTGTCTACACCGCAATTTTCTGTCCTCGCGAAGTGATTGAGAGGCGTAACGTAAGGAAGAGAGGAGATAAGTGAATGAAGGAATTATGGTGAAAATATGTAGAACACTCACCGGATGCTGTCCACTTTACTCTAGTGTCAAAAACACGATGGACAGTATTCAAATCGTTGAGACTAATAATTATATACTTTGGATGGGATGTTCACCGATTCCTCGTTCAAATTGTTGTTTTTAAATGGAATTCTAAATGATAAATGCGTGATTGTACGTTGTTTCAAATAAAGAGAATTGTTGTTTTTTAATGCGTTTCATTGATTCGTCGGAGTAGTCCTCGCACGTCAAATTTTATTTTAACTCCCGGCACTAAGAAATAAACTCATCTTCGTAACGATATCATTGTCTAAATAAACACGTTTTTATAACGATTTCAATGTCGCGTTCGGTTTCAGCATTTCGCGGAGATTTCACAAAGTTAGCAGTCCGCATCTTCAGAGCTGTCAGCTTCCATCTGAGCTCTGATGTGTCGAGTACATCCTTATATATCCACCCTATGATGCTAGGGAGGGGGGAGGGGGCGGGGGTAGCCAATCCTAGTCATTTTTACAATAGTCCAATAGAAATGAAGAATTGAAACCAAAACTTCAATCGAAAAAAAATACCTGATGAAAAACGGGATAATAACGATAATATAAATTTTCAACGTTAAATAAATGTTGTGGCCCTGAAAAGGGCCGATTGTTTTTATTGAGTGATTTAAGAGCTGCTCTTCTCGGTCTTCTTGGGAAGCAGAACAGCCTGGATGTTGGGAAGGACACCACCCTGAGCGATGGTAACTCCAGAGAGAAGTTTGTTCAACTCCTCGTCGTTACGGATTGCCAACTGGAGATGTCTTGGGATGATCCTGGTCTTCTTGTTGTCACGAGCGGCGTTGCCTGCCAACTCGAGGACCTCAGCAGCCAAGTACTCCATGACTGCGGCGAGGTAAACTGGAGCTCCAGCACCAACACGTTCTGCGTAATTTCCTTTACGCAGGAGACGATGAATACGACCCACCGGGAACTGAAGGCCAGCTCTAGTAGAGCGAGTCTTGGACTTTCCCTTTACTTTTCCACCTTTGCCACGGCCAGACATGTTGCAGACAATTAATTCAACGTTGAGTCGCTGAAAGATCAATGGAGAATGGTTGAGCTCCCGAAAATCGCCTCTTTATAGCTTCGTACGCTCACGCCACCGAGCCAATCGGAACAGTGCAGCGGATGGACGCGCGCACGGCTCCTCCGATTGGCTCGGCGTCGTGTGCGCCGATGCTAATAAGTCAACGACGATCCTAACGGCAGTCACATTTTTACGGAATTCTCCACTCTGAAACTACTATACTCCAAGCATCATGCCGCCCAAAGCCAGTGGTAAAGCCGTGAAGAAAGCTGGAAAGGCCCAGAAGAACATCACCAAGACCGACAAGAAGAAGCGGCGCAAGAGGAAGGAGAGCTACGCTATCTACATTTACAAGGTCTTGAAACAAGTTCATCCCGACACTGGAGTCTCCAGCAAAGCCATGAGCATCATGAACTCCTTCGTCAACGACATCTTCGAGAGAATTGCCGCTGAAGCTTCACGATTGGCTCACTACAACAAGCGTTCCACCATCACATCTCGAGAGATCCAGACTGCTGTTCGTCTTCTTCTCCCCGGAGAGTTGGCAAAGCACGCTGTGTCTGAAGGCACCAAAGCTGTGACTAAATACACAAGTTCCAAGTAACGTGGAAGAACTCAAAATCAATCGGCCCTTTTCAGGGCCACAAAATGTTTATAACGTTGATAATTCAATTAGTTCACTTATATTATTTAATTATTACCGTCAGTAATCCGGTTCTGGATTTATCGTTGCATTTACCCAAAAATCATGTGACCCTGTACATTCACTGTAATGAACGGAGGTAAATGGAAATTATTACTATATTAATATGCAAACTTATATTCATGAGGGGCATTAATATTTTTATTATTTTAAAAATAAACTATCACAATTACCGTCTTATGATTTGTAAGGTGCGGATTCTAAAAGAACGTGGCATATATAGTCATGAGGGTCACGTGCCATTTTTTGCTGCAGTTGCTGCGATCGATGACCTGACAAATATGTAGTAAACAAACAATTTGTACTTTGCACTTGTTTATTATTCGTTTTCAATAATAACAATTGCGTTGCTAATATTCTTTGCCATTTTCTTCTCGATAATAATAAAGTGGGTGTGTTATGTCGTTTCTTCTATCTGATATATTTTGGTTTTTGAGGTTATGTTCGTTGGCACGCGAATCCCATATCCAAGTGTTAAGAATTACTTGGATATATTCATTGATTAACGTAATTATTATACGAAGAATCTTTAATTCGGGGGCTTTGGAATTTTTTATGTATGAATATAATATAATTAATATAATATAATTGTTTATTAACTCAATTAAATTGTGTAAACGTGTCAATATATAGATTTCAATTTTATGCATCTCCCTTTCGTTTGATACAAATATTTGTTATTATGAAGAAAAATTCAAATCTAAATGGCACTAATGTAAAGGGGGTTCATTCGACATAATTATTGGTGTGCGTTGGTCTTTCATTTCTGGGAAAATTCAGTAATTATTCAACTACTATTATTATAGCATAATGCAATATGATATAACGAAGATTTCATTTCTACGTGATAAATATGTGGTGGCCCTGAAAAGGGCCGATTGTTTTTGATCCGTAGAGAGCTGTGTTTAACCTCCAAATCCGTAGAGAGTACGTCCTTGACGTTTCAGAGCGTAGACCACATCCATAGCCGTAACGGTCTTCCTCTTGGCGTGTTCGGTGTAGGTGACTGCGTCACGGATGACGTTCTCAAGGAAGACCTTGAGAACACCACGAGTCTCCTCGTAAATCAAACCGGAGATACGTTTGACACCACCACGACGAGCGAGACGACGGATAGCAGGCTTGGTGATTCCCTGGATATTATCACGAAGAACTTTGCGATGGCGTTTAGCTCCTCCTTTTCCCAATCCCTTTCCTCCTTTGCCGCGACCAGTCATTTTAACTTGGGTTCAAAGAACACGTCAATATTAAATAAGCAAGCAGAAGCTTCTGATATCTTTTCACAAAATGCTCGTGGTTTTATAGACGTCGCGTAGAGCGTTCTCCCACCCCTGGGAAATACACCAATGGCGTTTCGTCATTCAGATATCCCCGCTCCACTCCACAAACCAATCACAGACGCGCACGGTGTTATATATACTGGGTCCGTCGCTTGGAACTTCATTATTTTGCTGCTAATTTTGGAAGTAAGACTTCGACGCAATGGCTCGTACCAAGCAGACTGCCCGTAAATCTACCGGAGGAAAGGCTCCCAGAAAACAATTGGCAACCAAAGCCGCTCGTAAGAGTGCGCCAGCAACTGGAGGAGTCAAAAAACCCCATCGCTATAGGCCTGGAACCGTAGCTCTTCGTGAGATCCGTCGTTACCAGAAGAGCACTGAGCTCCTCATCCGTAAACTTCCATTCCAACGACTTGTTCGTGAGATCGCCCAGGACTTCAAGACTGACTTGAGGTTCCAGAGTTCAGCTGTGATGGCTCTTCAAGAAGCCAGCGAGGCTTACCTCGTTGGTCTCTTCGAAGACACTAATCTCTGCGCCATCCACGCGAAGAGAGTGACCATCATGCCCAAGGATATCCAGCTGGCTCGTCGTATTCGTGGAGAGAGAGCTTAAGTTATTTCAACTTAAACTAAATCAAATCGGCCCTTTTCAGGGCCACAAATTAATTTCAACTAGTAAAACAAAATCACTAAATCGTAATCCATATTTTAAAGAAATATATAACGTACATCTAAACAATAAATTAAATGACAAAATCCGTCAACAAATTAAATAATTATTTTAAATATTTACATAAGTGTCACCGCAGTTGGTGCAATTCAACATTTTAAGACGATTCCGTAATAATACCCGATATACCGTCAGTGGTCCAGTCCTTAAGAAACGGAATCCAGTTATAATTTTTAATAATTTAGAAGTATTGTTGAGTGCATGTTTTTGGCTTCAGAGAAGTACAGCCCATAGTTTCCATTCAACTTCGCTCATCAGAGTAAATATATCGGGTCACATGAATCTAGCTAAATTTAACGCTGATTGCATAGACGGTACCGATTCATAACCGGGACATTGACGATAATTGAATTTTGGTATTATATATGATTCTAAAGAGTAAATCGGAACGGCATCAACGCCCTATTTATTCGATTATCGCTGGAGAATCAAATTAAAGTTTCTATTGCCTGAATACATTGGTCGTAAAATGAGTGAGTTTTTTCATTTCTATACGAGGTTCCGAGTTCAAAATTCGATCAAGTGATGAGATCTGACTATTTGAAATCCAATTATATTTCGCACCATATTGAAATCGAGTCAGAGTAATGTCAATAGTAAATAAAAATTACACAGCTACATCAATAAATTTCCATCCGCATTTCAAGACATAAAAAGGATCTTCATAGGTATTTCAGAGGTAGATTCGCTAGCGATCGAGAATTATTACGTTTATAAATAATTATTGGCCCTGAAAAGGGCCGTTTGGTTATGATCATGGCTGAATTGCATTGAGAGATTCAATTCACTTCTTCTGAGCTGGTTTCTTGGCCGCTGCTTTGGTTCTTGGAGAAGCAGCCGCCTTCTTCGGTTTGGGTGCCTTGGGTTTAGCAGTTGGTCCTTTTGTAGCCTTCTTCGCCTTGGGGCTTTTCGGTTTGGCCGCAGCTTTCGCTACCTTCGGCTTCGCGACCTTCTTCTCAACAGCTGGTTTCTTCGCTGCAGCTTTCTTCGGCGAAGCTATTTTCTTGGCTTTCGGTTTTGCTGTTTCGGTTTTCTTAGCTACCTTCTTGACCGCAGTCTTCTTCGGTGATGCTTCCTTCTTGCCAACCGCCAGATTAGATTTTGGCTTCGAAGCGTTGGTCTTCTTCACTGCGAGCTTGAACGATCCAGACGCACCATTTCCTTTAGTTTGCACAAGAATTCCAGCAGCAACTGCGGACTTCAGGTACTTCTTGATGAAGAGTGCGTGCTTTGTGGTGTCGAGCTTGTAGTTGGCAGCGATGTACTTCTTGATAGCCTGGAGGGAGGATCCATTACGCTCGGCAAGGGTCTTTACAGCGGTATTGACCATGTCAGCGGTGCTGGGATGAGTTGGTTTAGGCTTTGGATTTTTCGCCTTAGTTGCTTTCTTGGCAACCTCTGCCTTTGCGGGAGCAGGAGAACCCGTTGGCGAAGCAACGACTGGTGACGCAGCTTTGTCAGTCATCTTAAATTCACGTGGAGAAATCAAAATATTTTCAGTCAAACTGAATTATTCTTATGAGAGCGCTGAGATCTCGGCGGAGTGACTAGGAATTTGAGCGCGGACCATGGAGACGGGCCCGGCGATGCAGACACCGCAACTTCGTCGTCGCAATACTGCAAACGGTGTCTTATTCTGGGTAGTCTAATTTTTTTAGGGTTGTTTTAACAACCATAACACTTTCTTCAACATTACATGATCTTTAGAAATGTCTAATTAAGCTACAGCATTGTAGTTTTCATTCGCAGTACTCGATAATGACGAATAATTGCTCGGAATGTTGCTCTCGTACTTTCGGTGTCTCGGGTGCTGCCGCGTTTAAACATTCGTAGAATAAACAATCTGTATAATTTTATCATTCCAGCATTGTGACAACATGCTATGATAATTAACAAATGTAGAGGATACTCAAGTTTTCAGAAAAAATGACAGTTGATACGGAATTTTGACGCGTTAATGTGTCGAGTCCGGCCAGATCGAAAATGCGCATCTAAGGAGATATTGCGTGCAATATGAAGTGAGAAAATATACAAGAGTAAAATACCATCTTTACAATTTACCTATTTTTTAGTGTAACACCCTCTCTAGTAATTATGGAATTCGATTTAACAATCGGTTTTCAATACTTCATGAAGAGACTGAATGTGAAGAAGCGGAATGCTGCGCGTGATAATGTCATACGCAGAGCATACGTTTAGTTGGGTAATTTTATTATTTAATATCAATGTAATAATTTTATTATTGTTATATACGAGTCGCAGCAGTTTTTTGTTCGATAACGTTTTAGGGTCTTAAGTCGATTCAAAAGAGTTTTTTTATGGAACGAATTTGATAAATTGTAACGGATTGAGTTTGTTACGCGTGTGTCAGAATCATTTTGGAAGAAAGGTATTTGTAGTGTTAAGAATAATGCGATGTTTTGTCATTTGCAATATTTTTTTGTGATGTAATATAGATTGTTAAAATATCGCGGTAAATTTTAATGAAATTTTTCTCTCTCTGGACATAAAAAACGAACTACGGTGAGAATGTAAAATGTAGAAAATCTTTCTAATTGATTTTCTAATTGACATTCAACAGTAGGCGTTAAAAAAAAAAGTCGATAACGGTAATTTTGCGAGTGACCTGACCATTTGAGAAGAAAACCGTCATTTTGCATCACCATGAGGTCGGTGAAAGGTTAAGTGATAGTCCGAGTGACAGCTCATTGTTTGGATAAAGCTTTCAGTCTTATATTTGTTTGGAAAAAACCGAACGAAGAATTGAAGAACACTTCTGGTGATTCGATCCCTAAGAAATTGAACGCATATGATCATTGTTTATTTTAATGTCCGTACATTGGATATGGATTTCGATTCTCATTGGGTGATGGAATTTTTAAGGATATCAATGTGTTCATAATGAGCCCGTTTTCGGTGGCTAAACGGCTATGGAAATATGGAAAACAATTGGAGTTTATATTCTAAATCAATATTAAGCGTAAAATTGTAGTACATAATTTTATACTATTATAATTTGAAGAAAAATTCAATAGAATATCGCAAGTCGCAATGTTCACATTTTAAGCGGGTCAAATGGATATTGAATTCAATACAAAAAAATATGTAAAATTGAGTATTCTTCGTAAAAGCGTTTGATGGCCCTGAAAAGGGCCGATTGTTTTTATTGAGCTATTTAAGAGCTGCTCTTCTCGGTCTTCTTGGGGAGCAGAACAGCCTGGATGTTGGGAAGGACACCACCCTGAGCGATGGTAACTCCAGAGAGCAGTTTGTTCAACTCCTCGTCGTTACGGATTGCCAACTGGAGATGTCTTGGGATGATTCTGGTCTTCTTGTTGTCACGAGCGGCGTTGCCTGCCAACTCGAGAACCTCAGCCGCCAAGTACTCCATGACTGCGGCGAGGTAAACTGGAGCCCCAGCACCAACACGTTCTGCGTAATTTCCTTTACGCAGGAGACGATGAATACGACCCACCGGGAACTGAAGGCCAGCCCTGGTAGAGCGGGTCTTGGACTTCCCCTTTACTTTTCCACCTTTACCACGGCCAGACATGTTGCAGATGATTAATTCAACGTTGAGTCGCTGAAAGATCAATGGAGAATGGTTCAGCTCCCGAAAATCGCCTCTTTATAGCTTCGTACGCTCACGCCACCGAGCCAATCGGAACAGTGCAGCGGAATGGACGCGCGCACGGCTCCTCCGATTGGCTCGGCGTCGTGCGCGCCGATGCTAATAAGTCAATGACGATCCTAACGCCAGTCACATTTTTACGGAATTCTCCACTCTGTAACTACTGTACTCCAAGCATCATGCCGCCCAAAGCCAGTGGTAAAGCCGTGAAGAAAGCTGGCAAGGCCCAGAAGAACATCACCAAGACCGACAAGAAGAAGCGGCGCAAGAGGAAGGAGAGCTACGCTATCTACATCTACAAGGTCTTGAAACAAGTTCATCCCGACACTGGAGTCTCCAGCAAAGCCATGAGCATCATGAACTCCTTCGTCAACGACATCTTCGAAAGAATTGCCGCTGAAGCTTCACGATTGGCTCACTACAACAAGCGTTCCACCATAACATCTCGAGAGATCCAGACTGCTGTTCGTCTTCTTCTCCCCGGAGAATTGGCAAAGCACGCTGTGTCTGAAGGCACCAAAGCTGTGACTAAATACACAAGTTCCAAGTAACGTGGAATAACTCAAAATCAATCGGCCCTTTTCAGGGCCACAAAATGTTTATAACGTTGATAATTCAATTAGTTGACTCACTAGCATTAAGTATCAGTTATCATTAGAAATATTGATTAGTAATTGTGAAACACGTGAATCTAAACTGAAAATATTTTTTGGACGAGATGTTACGTTTAGCAATTAGATTGATGTTAAACTATTCCTTAAAAAACATGATTAACTTGTAAAATATTATAGGCGATTGATACATACGTGATATGGAACACGTATTTGATCGCCTAATATACAATACTTAACAATAATCATTGAAAAAGGCTAATAATCGTCGTAAATGGGCTGATTTATTATTCACCCAAAATTTGTTCCATTTGATCACAAAGCAACTAATTTTTCTGAATTAAATACGTTAATGAAAACTATTTAAACATCATTAATACTTAAAAATACGTTTATATAACTCTCCGCACATAAAAAAATACAGAATTCTCGAATGTAAGCGAAGAGATTTGGGAAAAAAGATTATTGTAAAAATTTAACGCATTGCATCTACATCTATGAAAAAACGTGTTTCTAGGTATCCGAAATCTCCCATTCACAATGTTCAAATGTATCTAAATAATTCAATAAAAAAGGCAATATTCATGTCTGAAAAATTAGTTCGTGACGAAATAGTATTAGCTAATCGCTGAAGCGCATTGTAAATTCCAACGTTATAAAGATGTGGTGGCCCTGAAAAGGGCCGATTGTTTTTGATCCGTAGAGAGCTGCGTTTAACCTCCAAATCCGTAGAGAGTACGTCCTTGACGTTTCAGGGCATAGACCACATCCATAGCCGTAACGGTCTTCCTCTTGGCGTGTTCGGTGTAGGTGACTGCGTCACGGATGACGTTCTCAAGGAAGACCTTGAGAACACCACGAGTCTCCTCGTAAATCAAACCGGAGATACGTTTGACACCGCCACGACGAGCGAGACGACGGATAGCAGGCTTGGTGATTCCCTGGATGTTATCACGAAGAACTTTGCGATGGCGCTTGGCTCCTCCTTTTCCCAATCCCTTTCCTCCCTTGCCGCGACCAGTCATTTTAACTTGGGTTTGAAGAACACGTCAATATTAAATAAGCAAGCAGGAGCTTCTAATATCTTTTCACCAAATGCGCGTGGTTTTATAGACGTCGCGTAGAGCGTTCTCCCACCCCTGGGAAGTAGACCAATGGCGTTTCGTCATTCAGATATCCCCACTCCACTCCACAAACCAATCACAGCCGCGCGCGGTGTTATATATACTGGGTCCGTCGCTTGGAACTACATTATTTTGCTGCTAATTTTGGAAGTAAGACTTCGACGCAATGGCTCGTACCAAGCAGACTGCCCGTAAATCTACCGGAGGAAAGGCTCCCAGAAAACAATTGGCAACCAAAGCCGCTCGTAAGAGTGCGCCAGCAACTGGAGGAGTCAAGAAACCCCATCGCTATAGGCCAGGAACCGTAGCTCTTCGTGAGATCCGTCGTTACCAGAAGAGCACTGAGCTCCTCATCCGTAAACTTCCGTTCCAACGACTTGTTCGTGAGATCGCCCAGGACTTCAAGACTGACTTGAGGTTTCAGAGTTCAGCTGTGATGGCTCTTCAGGAAGCCAGCGAGGCTTACCTCGTTGGTCTCTTCGAGGACACCAACCTCTGCGCCATCCACGCCAAGAGAGTGACCATCATGCCCAAGGACATCCAGCTGGCTCGTCGTATTCGAGGAGAGAGAGCTTAAGTTGTTTCAACTTGAACTCAAAATAATCGGCCCTTTTCAGGGCCATAAACCAATTCGAACGAGGAAAATTGAAAATCGCTAAATAATTCATATTTCAGGAAAATGTCTAACTTGCATCTCGACAATAAATAACTTGGAAGTATTGTGGAGTGCATATTTGCGACGGAGAGAGTATATAACCTAAAATTTCCAATTGCATGAATAAATTCCATGTCAGGGTAAATCACCCAGTAGATGGACACTACCCTACAGATAGACGAGCTACTTTTGGATAGGAAATTACGCAAAAAAATGTTGAAATACGAATTTTTGCGTTGAATTTTCACTCACTGTTGTAATTTTTAACCAACGAATGGCGATTTTTTTTTCCGATCATTTTTTTTTCAATTGCTAAATGAATTTTAGATTAAATTGACGCCGATTTTATAATGATAAAAAAAGAATGCAAAAAAAATAGCCGATCTTTTAAAAACGCCTTGATTGGCTGGGATACCCCCCACCTCTCCACCTACCCCCTCCGGGGGTCCGCGGGGTATATAAAGGCTGCCTCACAACGGGAGTTTCAGTATCGGAGCAGCCGAGTCCTGATGATGTCGATAGAAATTTTCGGGAGATTTCAACAAAAAGCTGAAGAGAATCCTGAATGGAGCGGCGTCCACCCAGAAGCCGTAACAATAAAAAATAGGTAATTTCGTCACAAAACCGAAATAGCATATTTCGATACGAGTGGACGGAATTTTCACGAATGGTAATTTGAAGTCGGCGCCTTTTTCCTGTTAGGAATATTGACTCAATAGTCAATTGACAATTCCGTATTGTCCATCTAGTTAATAACTAACTCTTAAAATTTAAATTACCAATTATTTCATTATTTTTCAAACTGAAATGAAGATAAATCAATCTTAATTATTTTAAGTTGCGACTTCTCATAGTATTACAAAATTGATGATTTAATTATATTAATTAATTAATAAAGTCATTTTCTACATCAAGTCTTGATAATGAATAACAACTGAAATTATTCGATCCAATCCTAAAATAACTTCCAACCTGAAAATTTCGTCAACATTTAGTAACAAAACGGTCTAGGGAATTCCACTTGAGCGAATTTTTTTCATATTGCCAGCAGTAATTCCCTGAACCGCAGTGACAAACCGAGAGAAGAATGATAAACATGGAGCCCCAATATGTCAATCCCCGACGAAAAATTCTCAATCACGCTGTTTGTAGTATTCTAGTGGAGTGTGGATATGAAAATTGTGACAGACAGGTGTTGGAAACGCTCACAGAGATGACACAGTCCTGTGAGTTTTTACATATTTTTCCTCTTGACAATAATTCAGTCGTCCCTTTGAATACAATCCTAACCTCAAAGTGCTTTGCGCCAAAATAATTTTTCTGTTCATCATTATAGATAAAATATGAATAAATTGAGTTACAACAAACATTCGAGGCCTTAAACCCATTAAAATCACATTCATCCCATCGATTTGCAAACGGCAATGTAAAAACGAGCCTTTGTTTTAATTATCAGAGAAAATTATTTGAAGTGAAAATAACAAAACAGAATAATCAACTTAAAATTTAGTGGAATGCAGCCGACACCCTCAATTCCTGAACAACGGCCATATTTTTTGTTTATTACATTCCGATCAATAGAAAAAATAGATCACATGACCATACACGAGTAATATAATATTGACAGATGAAATAATCGCTACAATTTTCATTTTAATTGTGGAATATTCAATGCAAGTTGAAGTCGTTCAGAAATTTATGTTTACCCTACTTTGAAAAAATATTATGGGCTTCCAGTCATCGTCGAAGTGGGTGAATCCGCGAGAAGCTACACTGAACTAGCCGGGCGGACTGAACCTCTGATTGCCGATGTGATTGTTGCATTGATAAACATGGGAGTCAGGCTGGAGGGCCTCGAGAGCTACGGGAAGAGGCCCCACAGGACTGTATTGCCTACCCTCCAGCAGCAAACACAGTCGAAACAGCTGAATATTCTTCAGGCTGGTGTCAAGCAGTCCCATCCCTCTCATATTCCTAATTATCTGCCGGCCTTCCCTGATCCCCATGCATACATCAGAACTCCAGTGAGTATTTTATACCACCGAGACTCGTTTTGAATTTCCCAAATGACTCGTTTTGAATTTGTGAATGATTTTTTGTCAACTTCTGTTTATTTACTTTTTTATTATTGGGACCTGATGAGAATAACAATTTACCACTCAGTACAATGGAACATTGAGAAATTTTAACGGGAGAAGGTTTTGTCAGTGAATATCAATTGAAAAGAAAATGAAAAAGAAAAATTCCAAACGAAGGCCCAGGGGGATTTTAAGTATTTTCCAGTTTTCGATTAATATCTCGAAATCCAACGGAGATAGCAAATTTTTTGTAATGACCTTTTTTGTAGCGCTCGATTTGCTCTACAAAAAAGGTAATTACGAAAATTTGTTTATCCCCCTTAGATTCGCAGATATTCCTCAAAAACTCAGCCAAGAGCTAGTCGACTTGAAAAGTTTTGCCGCCTCGCTAATGATCTCATTGATTGGAGATGTTTATCACACTCTTCTCTAAATTTCAGACACACAAACAACCGGTTACTGAGTACGAGGCCATCAGGGAGAAGGCTGCCTCCCAAAAGAGAGATATCGAAAGGGCTTTAACCAGATTTATCGCAAAAACTGGAGACACTCACAGTTTATTTTTCACCGACGATAACAGCGCTTTCCCCTGTGAGTAGAAATATTACGTCAGAAATCATTAAATTAATCATTTGGAATGTCAAACATTAATAAATGACGAATGGACAGGGCTAAATATGATTTTGAACTAATTGAATTAAACTTAATCACGAGAACTAAAGAATACAGAATTCTCTAAGGACAAGCCATTCTTTAGAATTATTATCTTTACTCAAAATTAAAATTAGTTGACAACAGTTTCATCTTTATATTTTGTATCAAATGACAAATTCAAAGGTTTTTATAGTGCAGATATAAAACAGAAATTCTTATATAACAACGAGGGAATAAATAATTCAAGTAAATGAATAAATGATTGAAATTAATACACGACCATTTTAGTTTCAATAATAAATGAAGCCGAATGAAAATTCGCTTATCTCCATATCTTCATAAGAGAATCAATTGAGTTTCTAGTGGATCATTGCATAAACTCTTGCTTTTTATTTCAGTAATAGCATGCAAACCACAATTTCCAAGCTACCTCTCGGCCCTCCTCCCTCAGGACCAAATATTCGAGCCTGAGCCTGAATTTAATTTCGAGCCGAGTCCAGTTAAAAAAAGGAAAGAAGTTAAACCAGCTGAGGATAAGAAGGAAGAAGGTGATTATTTAATATTCTCAATTACGCTGAGGGAATTATTAATGTCATTGATTCTTTATTCACAGCGACGATCGCAGAGATCGTAGAGCAGAATGAAGAGGTCTCGACTCAACAGGATGCCATAGATAACCCTTACCTCAGACCTGGGAAGGTGCCGGATGGAAAAGCCTCAGGGCTAAGTTTACCGGATTTTAGACAGAATGCAAAGAAAGATATCTTAGGAGATTGACTATTAATCACAATAGAACATTTTTACATAATTATTTTTTATGAAGTGAGACAGTGATCTTATCGAAGACCAAGTGAGTGGAAAATGGTGCATTTTATACTGAAGTATTCAGGGATAAATTGATGTTTCAATTATACACAAGCGTTTCAAATAGCTTTAACAATTTTATTTTCAACATTTTATTGCTCTAAACGCATTTTTACACAATTTTCCGAATAATTAGTCAGTGAAACAGATTGAGACTTCAATTTCAAACAGAATGGGAATGTGTAGTTAACGACTAACGTAAATAATGAGAATTTATTTACAATTTGTGATCTTTTGAAAATCGAATGATTGATGATTTTGATATTCATTCCCATTTGGATGTTTCGAAGGACTCTATTCCCTCGGACCTCAGTCTGTTCAGCATTGGACGGTAGATGTCTGGGGTGAAGGGGAGAATGACACCTCTCTGTTGAATTTCATCTGGAACGAACGATAAACGACAATTTTCAGAAAACAAATCGACGAAAACTCCATTGGTAAATAACTCAATAAAAACTATACACTTTAGCCACGCAATTTTCCCATAAAATTCTTGGGCATGAATTCTTCGCTTTTTCCCCCTAGATCTTGTGATGAGAAATAAAAAGAATAGAGGGGAAAAAATTATGCCCAAGAATTTCTGCAGATAAAATTTGAAAGAAATAAAAAACAATGAGTCATTAGATTGAAAAAACTGGATGAAAAATTTTTTTGGGATTGATCGAATGAGTCTCACCGTCGAGTATCATTTTAGCCGCGAGTGCAGCTGGATATCCCACAGTTCTGGCCATCGCGGAGTGCCCCCTCGAGTCACCATAAATCACAAGATTGATTCCCCTCTCCTCCTTCCTGTTATTCGGCCAGAGAATCCCAATGTTATGCCGCAGAACCACCAAATCCCGTTCATTCTTCTCGTAATTGAGCTTTTTGGAGAGATAATGGGTGAGTGTGTCCAGTGGGCTATTCAATTTCAATATAAGGTCCTCATTCAGCAGGCCTAGATCCTCAATAGCTTTGACACGCGCCTCGGAGTTCAAACGCTCCTCTAGTTTTCGTTTCAAATTTTCGTAGAATATGTCATCGTTGAGTAGTCCGAGGAGATTGCATACCAGTGTTCTCTGCAAGTGAACGGTACAAAGAGTTCATTTCATTGAGGTGTCCTATAAAATTTTATCGACATTTAAGGACATTCGACTACTTTTGTAGTCGAACGCCAGAGCTTTCATTTGAGCCTCAGTTGACCCTAAATTTTCGAACGATTTTATTATGTAAACTTTGCAAGTTTGAATTTAAATGTCGATATTAAACCGTTAATACTTTTTTTGAAACCGGAAAAAAAATTAAAAAGTCTACCTTCGGGAAAAATAATATAAATTATTTAAATTTAATTGCAATTTTTTAAAATTACGAACATTTTAATCAAATTTTACCCGCGCTTCTTTTAAAACAAATCATTAAAATTATTATCATTCGTGTAAATTCAGTTCTAATTTGAAAACGGAGGATTCAATTTAATAATTTAGTAAATAATGAAAGGGCCGAACAGAAAAAATTCAGTGGAAATATTATTAAGATTGTTTACTACGGAGACAGCCAAGGTAATTATTTATAATATTCTCAATTCGCTAACGTGAGGTGAAATCACATAGCGCCCAAGATTTACAGTACAATTATGAGTCAAAATTACTCGGATATTCAAGAAGAAGAATTATGTCACGAAATAATCAATTATGGAAGGCCGAATATAACAGAAATACTGCAATTTAATTTGGGATTTCATTTCAACGTTACAAGACATAATCGATCTTCAATGTGTGAGTGATCTCATTGCAACAGCCTGCGATTTTTAAAACTCATAGTAGTCTCCCCTATTTAAAAAAAGCTGAATATGATCTCTCAGAATCGTTCAGGACCACCGTCGTCCGGGGCATTATAACTCAGAAATTGTGTCCCATAATCTAGAAAAAAAGCACTCAATTCAATGCTCAAAAATAATGAGTTCACTCACCCAAGTGATATCAGGCCCATTGGGATGCAAACTGGGATGTGGATTAGGATCAATGAGCCCCAAATACTGTAGTGCCTGAACAGTATCGGTGAATCCCTTGAACCTCAATGTTCCCCTCAAGATAGTCGAGGCATTGGGAATTCCGTAAAGTTCCCTGTAAATCGTGCTGTCGCGGTTTGGGAAGCCCTCGAGAGCGAATCCCGGGAGGAAATCTAGGTCCTGAACCGTCGACATGAGGTCACCCCCTCCAGCGATCTCCACTACCTAAACACAAAATGCAACCAAAATCTGTTACCATTTCAGTAGTGGAGTGGTCAAACGGTTTAAGGAAAACGGAACCCCTTTGTCTACATGAAGTTTTAGAAGTGTTTTCTCCTGCGATTAATTTTTATTTATGAAACTACTTCATTGACTCAACAATACAATAATCGAGTCGATAAAGTAGTTTCATAGACAAAAATTAATAATAGACCTTTTCATTCTGAGAGTCACTAAATTTGCGGACACTTTTTTCCCATGTTAATTCCCCTAGGATTTGCGGACACTTTATCGAATTTACATATAAATCATGGTTTTTGAGCGCTCAAGTGTATATCATTGTAAAGTTCAATATTTATCAGAATTTTCCATGGTTTTTTCGGAGATTTTTTCGTTGAATGAACGAAATAAATATTTCCCCTAGATTTCCAGAATGAAAAGGTCTATTGTAGGAGAAAACACAATTCTAAAAAATCATATACTCACAAGGGTTCCGTTTCCCCTTAATTCAATTCTATTCTGAGAGCCACTAAATTTGCGGACACTTTTTTCCCATGTTAATTCCCCTAGGATTTGCGGACACTTTATCGAATTTACATATAAATCATGGTTTTTGAGCGCTCAAGTGTATATCATTGTAAAGTTCAATATTTATCAGAATTTTCCATGGTTTTTTCGGAGATTTTTTCGTTGAATGAACGAAATAAATATTTCCCCTAGATTTCCAGAATGAAAAGGTCTATTGTAGGAGAAAACACAATTCTAAAAAATCATATACTCACAAGGGTTCCGTTTCCCCTTAATTCAATTCTATTCTGAGAGCCACTAAATTTGCGGACACTTTTTTCCCATGTTAATTCCCCTAGGATTTGCGGACACTTTATCGAATTTACATATAAATCATGGTTTTTGAGCGCTCAAGTGTATATCATTGTAAAGTTCAATATTTATCAGAATTTTCCATGGTTTTTTCGGAGATTTTTTCGTTGAATGAACGAAATAAATATTTCCCCTAGATTTCCAGAATGAAAAGGTCTATTGTAGGAGAAAACACAATTCTAAAAAATCATATACTCACAAGGGTTCCGTTTCCCCTTAATTCAATTCTATTCTGAGAGCCACTAAATTTGCGGACACTTTTTTCCCATGTTAATTCCCCTAGGATTTGCGGACACTTTATCGAATTTACATATAAATCATGGTTTTTGAGCGCTCAAGTGTATATCATTGTAAAGTTCAATATTTATCAGAATTTTCCATGGTTTTTTCGGAGATTTTTTCGTTGAATGAACGAAATAAATATTTCCCCTAGATTTCCAGAATGAAAAGGTCTATTGTAGGAGAAAACACAATTCTAAAAAATCATATACTCACAAGGGTTCCGTTTCCCCTTAATTCAATTCTATCCTAGCGCCACTTCTCGATGAATATCTCAAATTCTAAAGCAGCAAAATTAGCGAAATTTACCTAAAAATCTTTTTTGTAGAGAAAAGTGAAGACTATTCACAAGGATCGAAAAAGATCTTGCAAAAATTTCGCTAACTTTCTTAAGTTTCGAGTTATTCAACAAAAACTGGGAGCTAAGTCAACTTAAACCGATTGACCACTTCACTACTAATTTTTTGTTGTTACTCCTGAGGGGTTCTGAGATAACGACGAGAAATCGGGGTGACCTGGCCGTTGTGGTAGTATTTAGCTCGTGATAGGGTGTTGAGTAGGACTCCACGGGGTGACCAGCTGAACTTATATCTCAGGGGATTGTCGGAACACTCTGGGGCTGGGAGGCCTCCGCACCAGGAGATGAAGGACTCGATTTTTCCACCCGCTTGCTTCACGTCGTCGAAACACTCGAGGGCGAGGAGGTGATCGATGCCCGGGTCTAGACCCACTTCGTTCAGAATTGTCACTCCAGCGGTTTCAGCTCTGGGGAATGAAATTTCACGGCTTTTTCAAGGACTAGATTTGATTAGATTCTTCGGTAGCGAAGCGGTAAAATGGTGCAGAGTTTCTGGGGAATATCTGGAAATCTAAGGGAGATAGCGAAAATTTCATCATAACCTTTTTTGTAGAGCGAAATGAGAGCTACAGAAAAGGTCATGACAAAAATTTTGCTAGTTGCCTTAGATTCCGAGATAATTAGGAAAAACTGACCAATAGTCAAATCGACATTTTTCGACGTTTTTACAATGTTTTTTTATATGCGGAGACATGAAAATTCCACATTGGATTTTTTGAGTTATTTATCTGCGCATTTTTTTCTCAACAGAAATGGCCAATAGAAAATATTCTACAGAAAAAATGAATAGAATTTGATTTTCCTATAAACCGTATTCTATTAAGATACTTTTTGAAGAAATTCTTCGGCTCAAATTTTCTTAGTTTTTTTATTTGATTTCCTTTATGAAAAGGGAAGAAAAATCGAGTGAAAAAAACTTGGAATTGATGTGGAGAAATTCCTGCAGATGAAATTCAACTGATTTTTTTCTACGAATCAATTTTTTTTATCGTTATTTTACATCGCTTCGACACGGTTAGGGTATACTGCGATGATGATCAAGACTTTAAAATGGTTAGATCGGACCATTCTACCCGGCCGGGATTTGAACTCGAAACCTTTCGCATGTGAGGCAACGGAGTTACCCATTGCGCCAAGCCACCGGGTTACAAATCAATTTCAATTTGACATTTTCTTCAATACAAGTTCAATAGAACTTCGATAGAATTCCCGTTCGAATTGGTTAGATTTTTGTACAAATTTCTTTCGGAATTCAACTCACTCCTCATGCAGGGCTCTGATATCGTCATTCAAATAGCTCGCAGTAACTAGATGCGTTCGGCAGTCGATACACGTCTTCGCAATGACATGATGAAGTCCGTATGGAAGCAGCGACACTGCAACATCAGCGGAGTTGACGATGTCTCGCAGGGTATCAGGGCGTTCAGTGACGTTCAGAAAGACCGATTCAACTCCAGGGTATTTGTTAGCTAGATTGTCTGCCTCTTCCTTCAAGTGTGAGCACACAACTATTTTTATGCTCCCGTCCCTGTGGAGGTACTCCACGAGCGGGGCTGATACGTATCCAGCTCCGAAGACGACGATCTTTATTGTTTCAGATTAAATCAGTGGATAATTGCATTTTTCATGAATGAGCATAGCAATTTGCATCCGAATGCATTCCCTTTTTTAAAATTCTTATTTCACTATTCTCTTCTTCTATTTTTTCGCGTCATAGTGCTATCGACAATTGAAATGTCATCAAAATTTTTGCGCATTATTTGGTTTTTCAAATAATTCTACGAGTCGAATTCAAAGAGTCAATCAGAATTGATAAAAACTCATGAAAGATATTTACCGTACTCACCGTCTTGGCTTCAGGCTGTCCATTGTCAGCCTTGTGCCTGGATCTGTTATTCATCTGCCTGAGCTCTTGAATATACTCGAAATTCGGTGTTAGACTTCCGTTGGAGGCAATGATTGCACCGTGAACAGCTGGAGTGAAGTTGTGCTCCTCCAGAGGCTTCTTGGCGTCTGATCTTATGATGTCCTGGGTGTAGGGGTACAAGAGATCGCCGAAGAAGTCTGTGGCCTCTTTGGGAAGTTGAGTGGGCATGTTATCAATTGAACAAACAAGCACTCCGGGACCTTTGAACGATTTTGTGTCCTTGTTTCTGTCGGCGTCGTAGAGGCAGAACGGTGTGTCGATTGTCGTGCACTCGTTCATGAATCTTGAACGAATATAAAGCATTTTTTGTTGAAAGGATGTCACGATTAAAAAATTGAACAATTATTCAACAGAAAGTAACTTTTATTCTTTGAACTTTAACTTCAATTTTTGAAACGTTGACGTCTGATGGAATGAGCAAATTTAATTGATCGTAAGTTGAATTGAAATTATTATAGATAATCATATAGATAATCTATAGATCTTCTATAGAATTTTCTATGGAATTGATCAAATTTAATTGCTCGGGATTGAAAAAAATGGAAAATCTAAAATAAATCGTGTCAATCTGATTTGATTTAATTAAGTGATATTTGTAAAATGATTTGACCCTGTAATTGGCCTAGCCTGTTGGGTCTCTAATAAAGAAATATCAAATATCAAAAATCTGAACGAGGGAAGGTGACTCACTCGATGCTACCACCAGGATCTGCGGAGATATCGCAGATGGCTAACATTCGATGGGGCAGAGCAGGTGCCCCAACGCTGATGGGCAACCACGGGGTGTGAGCGGGCCTCAACAAGTACTTAGCATCGGGAATGGTCAAGAGTTTGGGGGAATCGACGGCCCAATAGATTCCGTTGATGATGACTGAAGCGTAAGGGGCGATCTTCTTGCTGAAGGTGGAGATGTATCTCTCTGGGTGCTTGTCGTACTCTTCAGGGTCGAAACCACCTCCCTCCTTTCGCTCCAAGTGGTTTCTTCTTCTCACTTCACAACTGTAGATCTTATTCGTATCTGGAGAATTGAAAGTTTAACTGAATTCGAAAAAGAAATCGTTAATTTTTACCCGGATTATTTTAAAAAATGGGCCTTTCACGTAGGAATAATCGACTTTTTATTTTTGAGCAACTGTTCGGTATTTACTTAGTCCGGTAAATCTCTCAAAAGCTGTCACCAACGGATGAAAAATTAAAAATGCTCCATTTAGAATTTTTACCCGAATTTTTGTAAAAACGTTACTTTTCATAAAAGTCGATTTATTTCCGACACTATTGATTTTGGAGGAAAGTATCACGGGAACTTTTTGTAGCTGACAACATTTCCAACAAAAAATGTCTTCTGACATTTTCTCGTAGACTCACTCATGAACGAGATAATTCTGATTTTAATAGTGTCATAAAATCGACTCATTATCCATTTCATTAATTCCCTGAAAGAATCGCGTAATTTTCCAGCTAAAAGTGGATTGAAGTGTCCATTATCACCGGTCGCATTGTTCTCCAACAAGCAGCTGATTCAGTTATATCTAGAATTCGTAATCTCTTTCATTGATTGCAACTTTTTTTTCACTCTTTTCTGCACGAATATAAACACGTGTTTGTTGACTTGCGCAATTTTCTTTTCAAGATAAATACAGATATCACGGAGTTTAGCATTGAGGTCATCGCAGGCTATCGCCAATAATTTTATGAAGGTACATGTGAGAACAACATTTTGCCGACGTTTATCAGAAACGTAACGACTGAAGAGACGTCGAGGGCTCGCTTCCATTGCTTCCTTTTCTTCCTTTTTGCTTGTAAAGTCATTGGATTCGTCAAATCCGAAATTTCCAATTTATTGTGCCAGGATAGTTAATTTTGGCCGCAGGATTTCGAATAATATGAAAAAAAAATTATTTTGAAACCAATATTTTTGGGGCAATGTTGAATTCAATGAATCATTGAATTCAATTTAAAATACATCCACACGAAAATATTTCTACTTCTACTTCCCTTCAGATATTGTTTATAGAATTTCCTCAGCTCAAAATTTCTAATTTTTTTCATTCTATTTTTCTTTCATTTTCATCAAGAAAATGAAACAAAAAAAATTTAGAAAATTTGAATCGAGGAAATTCTCAGAGTTCATAATTGCATAATTATTCGAGGAAATTTTCATGGAGTTCCAATAGACATTGACTAGAATTTCTCAAAGAAAGCGCTAGGTTTTTCTATTAAACTCTTTAACACGCGAGACAATTGTTGAAGGCTTACCCCCGTGCTCAGCGACTTTGCGGAGACTCTCGGGGGTGACGTACTCGTGGGGAAGCTCTTGGAATACCTCCTGCCCCCCTTGACTGACGTTTCCGCTTCCTGTGAAGACGAATGTTAAGGGACCTATTGACTTTGGCATTGCACCTAGTGCTATCTCGTATCCGGCGTCGCGAATTGCTTGTCGGGCCATTGCAGAGTCTCGGTAGTTATGGGCTGGTCCAATGTGCTAGGGATTTCAATTGAATTAAGCGACGGAATTCGGGAGGTAACGAAACTACTGAAATGCCGAAAATCTTTGCGTCGTGAATTCTCAGCCCAAAGGGGATGAAAAAATGTGAACGATGGCTTGAAAAATTTGTTCATTTTATAGAAACCGGATGAAGCGAGTTGGGGGTGATCTGATGAGGATAAATAGTTTTAACAAATTTTTAAAAATACGAGGTGGGAGCACCGCCATCTTTAACGAGGGGGTATCCAAGCAAAATGGCGGATCACGCAACTGTCAACCACCTCGCATGTTTAAACATTCATTATAATTATTCAATCTCTTCAAATCCCCTTCAAATCGTTTCATTCAGTTCCTCGAAAAAAAACAAAATTGTCAAAAAATCCTTTCGATTTTGTTCATCTCCTTTTGGCTGAGAATTCATGGCGCAGTTTTCCCTGCAGTTCAGTATTTTTTTCACTCTCAAGGACTCTTAATCACCATTCGATGATAATTAAGCTTTGTCGTTGATAAATGACGAGTGAATCCAAAACAAAATAGTCAGAAACAAGTTTTTTCTAGAGAAAATTTTCTACAGCAAGGTTTTCTCAAGAATCTCGTTATACCATGAAGGGGGTGTGATGTCCAAGAGCCAAAAGTCTCAATCCGAGGCCATGAAGGATGTTAACCATCCCCGCGACACCCGCGTACTTCCCAAATGCAACGACCCTCTGTCCAGAATTATCAGTCAACTTCTCGTAATCAATGAGTCGGATATTCTTCTCCAGGATGGCATCCAACAGAGGCATATTGCTCTCCTGCGCTTTAATTGTGTGGGAGAAGCAGCAGTAGGTTTTGTTCGGGATCAACTGATCGATGGGGATCTGCTTGACCCCGAAGATCACCGAGGCCTCGCTGATGTCCTCCTGGAGGAAAGCCCCCGCCTTCAAGTATGCCTGCGCCGGGTAGGCGCGACGATTGCTCGGTTGAACTATCACTTTTACACCTGCGCGAATCAATCGCCTGACGTTCGAGGGGGCCAGGGGGGCACGACGCTCCCATACTGACTGATCTTCACGACGAATTGCTATCGTTTTTCCTCTTAGACTCTGGAAATCATTCATATTTTCTTGCAATCCGCGTTTTTTTTTTCATTTTTATATTTCATTCCAGAATTTTTAGTTCAATTGAAAATTCACATTCAATCATTTGGCCACGAATTTAATTTTTTTTATTCATCAATTGCATTGTTTACTAAATTTAAGAGGGATCGAGAGGAAAATAAACTACTGAAATACACGGAAAGCTTTATGGCATGAATTCTCAGCCAAAAGGGGATGGAAAAATCTAGAAGATGAGCTAAAAAAATTGTTCATTTCATAGCAACTGGATTAAACGATTTGAAGATAATCTGAACAAGATAAATAATTTATAAAAATGTTCAAACATGCGAGGTGGAGGCGCCGCCATCTTTAAAACCAAGGAAGATGGCAGGCTCCACAGCTGTCATCCACCTCGTATTTTTGAAAATTTATTAAAGCGTTTTATCCTCTTCATATCGCCTTCAACTCGTTTCATTCAGTTCCCAGAAAAAGAACAATTTTCCAAGCGATTCCTCTGATTTTTCCATCGCCCATTGACTGAAAATTCACGGCCCAAAGTTTCCCCCCATTTCAATAGTTTTTATCAATTCCCGAGGCCTCTTGAAAGAGTATTCTTCACAAAAAAAAGAACAATACTTCACAAAAAGTAAACTTACACTGTTGAATCTAACACTATTACTAGTATGAACACCTCCCATCGATGGATATAATCGTTGGACACAGGTTGAGTGCAATATTCTCATGATGACCCCCTGATCTTTCGCCGCAGTACGTCAACACTATCAGGATACAACTGAAACTCGTTGTTTATCATCCACCCACACTCCAGTGTCTTTACATTTCCCGGAGGAAACGAAAGCACATCGACTCGCCACGAAAGTTTGGAATCAATTAAATCGAGTTTGTAACGAGGACTCTCCACACTTCCTCAAATATGACCTTTCCCTTATCGTAATTCTCCCGGATCATCTTATCACACTTGTCTGAGGCCCTTATCTCTTTACGGAACACTGTAGGGTAGGCGTTATCTGTCATTCTAGTGGAAAAATTTGGCGAGGTTTTGGGGTGAGCTTTTGTTAGTGAGGTAGTTCGATTTATTTATCATTTCGGTTGATTACAATTACTCGTTTGGAGTCGATCGATGAATAAATTTGATGGAAAATTATGCGTTTTATTCCGGGAATTTTTTAATAATTCATATTCAATAGAAAAAAGTCAATAGATGTTGATTTTTTATATAACTCATGCTATTGACATTTTTACTGCGAAAATTGTTTGATTTTGTGATGGGTAAAAGAAAATCTAGGGAGAATAAATCATGCAGAATAATTAAAATTTATTGAATTTTTTATATCTAGTTTTCTCGCGCCATTCAATCATAATTCCATGATAATTATCAATGACTTTTCGAGTTCGTGTATTCTTTTATGAAGATTAAGAGGCTCAGAAAGACCTTCAAGAAAATAATAATGATGATTAATCTAATGGGGAAAATCTATTGAATTTTTTCTATCTAGTTTTCTCATCCCATTCAATCAAAATTCGACGATAACCATCAATGATTTTCTTCTAGATTATACACTAAAGATTAAGTTTCATGAGTGATAAGTTCACATATCTATTCCATTCAATTCACATGTTGTTTTCCTTCGTGTATAAATTAAATCCCTAACAGCCTTTTCATCACCACAAATTGAATTTCTGAAAATAAAAAAAAATAGAAGGCACAAAGACGAGTTGACATTGAAATAAACTGAGTTCGTGTATTCTTTTATGCAGATTCAGAGACTCAGAAGTACCTCCAACAAAATAATAATGAGAAATGATCTAGTGCGGTTGAGGCTTTATCGATAAATACATTTTATTTTTAACTATTTGTTGAGTTGGCTTTATTTTCTTCAGTATCAATGTCATAACATTGACTAAGTCATCGGACTTGAGGCCTGTTTTCTTCGACTTAAACTTCTGCAGCAACTCTGTTGTTGTCATTGGTTTACGTGTCAGATAACGGCGCACTGCATCCTCGGTGATTCCAGATTCACTGGAACAAAAATCAAAGACATTTTTTCTCAAACAATTTCACCCTAACAATGCAATTATCTCCATAACGAGCGGTTTTAAGAGAAAATGTCGCAGGAAATTTTTTCTAGCCGATGAAATTCTCTACAAAAATGGTCTTGCCACATTTTTCCCTAGGATCAACAGCTCCTGAGATAAACAGACACTTATAGAAGACACAATTCACTCTTAAAAAATCAAACCAAAATAATGCTTAATCGTCAATAAGACGTGACTCATTAAAACCGTATCATTTGCCCAGAAGATATTAAAGATGCAGTCAAGTCCATTCTACTCTACTACGTTTTCCCCACGTTTGCAATTTCGTCATTCGTTATCGGAATAGTTCAAGGACTGATAAGATAATTTCGTTTGTCTCATTCTACAACTTCCCTAATCAATGAATTTTCCTCAATCATAATTACTCATCGATTATTTACCTCAATCCAGGAATGTAAGAGGACGAAGGAGCAGAATTGAAGTTATCCAATTTGAATTTCTTGGACTGCGAAATATCAGGGGACGATGTCATCTTCCTCTTGAGACTGTCAGCACTGGAGGGACCGGGGACTGGTGTAGCTGATCTCGAGCTCTGTGCACTATGGACTTTATTATCCTTCTTATCCTTATCCTTGGCAGCGTCAGAGTCAGTGTCTGAGTCGCTGGAGAAATCGCTGGATGACTCCTTTCCATTTTTCTTGGCTGAGTCCTTCTTCTTACTGGCACTCTGCTTTTTCTTCTTCTTCTTGTCCTTGTCCTTTCGCTTCTCACCGTCCTTGGTCTTCTCCTTGTCGTCCTTGTCCTTGTTCTCGTCGTTGTCAGACTCATCCTCCTTCTCGGTCTTGTCTTTCTGCTCTTCCTCGTCCTCATCGTCGGATGCCAATAATTTTCGCAGGGCATCCTCCTCGGCTACTGATTTTATCTTGTTGCTCTCTGCCTCCGCTTCGGAATCTGTCGAGTCCGATATGTAATCGCATTCGCGCCCTTCCTCGTCTCCGTCGTCACTCTCCTCGATTGCCTCATCGTCTGATGCATTTTTCTTCTTCTTTTTTGGAACCACTGGAAGGGAGAATTTCACTCGTTCAGCTGGTGGTTTTATTACTTTCACACGTTATTATCCTGAGGTGATTTTAGTTCCTCTCGGTGTGGGGGAAATTTTATTGGGGAAAGATTATTGACTTTTGCTTCCCAGTGGAAGATTTGTAATTGTTCAAATTCAAGTTTTCAATTTTTTGTGATAGGGTATATGGCTTTCGAAATTTTCTTACGAGGGATCAATCGAAGTTTATGAATCACGATTTTAATTTCATTTCCAATCAATATGAATATTCAAATTGAACTCATTTGTACTGTGAAATACTCAAGTGAATTTATATGGTGTTAACGATGATATACTCTCAATTAATCAAAATCAATCTTAAAATCAAATTATATCTATTGATAAATAATACAGCAAACAAATTAAAACATTTTATAAATTTCAACCAACTCTAACATTTATATAAACTTATATAGACTTACAATATCAAATTAAAAAATCAAATCAATGAATCAAATAGATAAATCTGTTCAACTCAGGTAAAACTAAATCAACAAAAGTAAAATGAAATATTTAAACAAAAATAGAAAATGAGAGAATTCTTTGAAAATCGTATTAAACATCCAAGTGAATTAAATCCATTAGAAATCATTTTTAATTTTAAAATAACAATAAAAGCAACTTTAGAATAACCTGAGTGAAATTATTTGTAACTCAGGAGTATTAACAAGATGAAAGATTTACCTTTTCCTTTCTTCTTCTTCTTCTTGCCCCCATCAGCCTCGTCGTCAGATGCCTTTTTCTCCTTCTCCTCGTCGCTGTCAGAGTCCTCGTCATCACTGTCCATCCACTCATCCATCTCGGAGATCTTTAGCTCCTTCTCCTTTTTGGATCCTCTAGCCTTCTTGCCACCCTCTGCCAACTCTGCGTCATCCTCGTTGCCATCCTCGTCGTTCCTCAGACGCTTGCGAACCATTATCGCGTGGTAATTCATGGTCTTGTTGCGACGACTGAACTCTGCCTCGGCTTCCTCGGCGCTGAGAGCCTTGTACCTCTGGATCGGCTGGAAGTTGTACCTGAGGGGAAGTCATTTATGAAAATTTATCATTTTTTAGAATTTTAATTGGTATTTCTAGGAGGAAATGAAAATTCCAAAGAAATTTGTCAGCAGGCTCAACTTAAAACTGAATTATCTCGATTTATATCGATTTTAGGAGGAAATATCATAAGATATGTTTTCTAGAAAATTTACTAGTCTACAAAAAATGTCTTATCACATTTTTCTCTAAAACCACTCCTTTCTGAGATATTTACGTAATTCTGCAGGAAAATTGGAAAACGAGAAAAGTTTATGTCCTCTTTTATAGAAAATGACATTCATGACAATTGATCATCATTTTTTATTCATTTTAATCATTATTTCTAGTAGATGAAAATTCCGAAATTTATCAGCAGTTTCAACTTCAAAGCGAAATATCTCGACTTATATTGATTTTAGGAAAAAATATCAGAAGATATTTTTTGTAGAAAATTTACTAATCTACAAAAAATGTTTCATCACATTTTTCTCTGAAACCCCTTGTTCCTGAGATATTTTCATAATTCTGTTGCAAACAAGGAAAAAATAAGTGGTTATTCGTCTTAATCCAACAGTTCCTCTTCGATTCAATTTCAGACATCTTCAAAGACTATTTACCATTCTTGAAGTGGAAATGCCTCGATAGCACCATCAGAGGCATGAGTGAACACGTAATAAGCCGCATTGGCACTGACTCCACCCTCTCTGATGCCCTTGAACTTTTTCCCAGTTCTCCCACCGACTTTCAAAATCCAGGGTTGATTCTCTGGTTTGTACTTCTTACTCGTTATTCCAAATTTCTTCCTCCTTGCCTCCTCCCTCGCGTCCCTCCCGAACTCTGACCCAGCCCCGAATTTCGGCATGTCCTCGTCGATCCCTTTGAACTCCTTCATGTTGTTCTCACGCTCCATCTTCACCTGGGCCCATTCCGAGAAGTTAACACGGAGATTTCCGTTGAAACGCATCACGTTGTGCTTCTTTTTGGATGTCCTGCGATGGAAGTGAAATGATAACAGAGGAGGAACGATAATTCATAATAAATAAACATTGATTTGGGTTTTAGAAATTGATTGCGTTTTTTGAATAATTAATATCTCCGGACCAAATGATTCGATTTGAATGGGTCAGAGCTCGTTTTAAAGACTGGAAAATTGCCTTGAAAATGAAAGAAAAAATCGTCGGATTTGACTCTGCCGATCTTGAGTTAGTGGCGATTGAAAATGGCAGTGGAATAAATTATTCAATAAGTAGTTAAACTACTCCATTAATTATTTAGTTTTCTCGTTGATGAGTAAATCTGGGAGAAAATTTCATGAATCATACTTGTAGCTGAGAAAATTTCCCACAAAAATGTTGAATATTTTTGTCTCGAAAACGTTAATTATCAAGATGATTATGTGTACAACAAAAAAAAACTCACTTAGGGACACGAATACTGTATTCCTGGATGGGCTGCGCCCCTGGCGCCTGAAAAATCATCAAACTTCATGAGTTTCAAAAAATCATCCAATGAATTTAATCATTAGTGGCTGAAGTAATCAATTAATTAATTAGATGATTATTTATGCATTTTTTTTTTTTTAATTATCAAATTAAAGTAATAATTTACTTCTAACATTTACATTTTATATCATTAATTATATATTATTCATAAAGAATTAACAGAAATATTCAATTGAAATTTCGTTATGCAAAACATCTGATAATGAATTCAATCAGTGGTTACTCAATTAATCATTTAATTAATTAACTAAATTATTATTTATTCAAGTATATTTTTATTTTTTTCTTCAATTAGGGGTGGGTGGGGCAATATCGACACTTCCGACTTTTTTTTAAATGTTAATGACTCATTGAATTATTAACAGAAAAGGATAATTTTTTTTCTGTAAAAAGTACAATTCTTCCCCTTTGTAATGAGCTTTGATTTCAATTACTGAATTTGTTTCTGAGTTATGAACATTTGAAAAAAAATCAAGTGTCCATATTGCCCCACCCATCCCTACGAAATTAATTCAAAATTAATTACGAAATATTTTAATAATTTAGTTTCAATATTTATATTGCATAAAATTAATTTTAATATTATCGGATTAACCATTCTGTCGCCATTGGTACAGATGGAGGGGGTGGGGGGGGGGAAGATATATATACGGGGGTCCGGACATTGCCGAAGGAAACTCGTGCCCCAGTGCGAGATGAGACGGCGAGAACTAACCTTGCCTCCTGCTGCGTTCATTTTCCCGCGACAGATCCTCAATAAACGATGGATTTACCCAATTTTTAATTGCCAATTGAACTGGTGGAATTCTCCAATTGCGGGATTAATGAGATTCAGCTAATAAATGCGAATGTTGGACTGATCTTGGTTTTTGAAAAAGAGCGACCGTTGAATGTGTTCGTCCCGACGTTCGACACGGGACGAGTGATTGAACGGCGTTCGTACCAACTATATATATATTTATCGTCGCGAACGTAATATGAGAGTGGTCTTCGGTTTTACCCCCACTATTCCGAGTTCGTAATTCTACCGCGGGAGAGGGGAGAATTCTAACCAAAACCGAAGACCATTCGAGGATAAAGAGAATTAAACATAACTGTAATTTTGAAGATTAAAATCTGAAAGTAAAAGGTAAACAAAAGTTAAGAGGAATAGAAAAATTCTGGTGGGGTTTGGGCTCAATCGACAGTCTAGTATTATTCATAATAATTAATCTACAAACATTCATATCTTGTCTGACATCGCTGCTACAAACTCGGGTTTTTAACTCGGGTTTTCAATTGAAAACCCGAGTTGAAAACCCGAGTTTGTAGCAAAGATGTCAGACAAGATATGAATGTTTTTTTGGGCTCAAATGAAAGAGCGGGCCGAGAAATGGCGTGCTAGGGCCTCTAACGATGGTTTTGAACCAGGGGAGACTCCTAGACCCCACTGGACAATGTTGTCACAATTGCGCTTTTCAATTGAAAACAGACATCATCTTTAGAGAGATTTGTCATCTTTAATGACTTCTGCACGCCATTTCTCGACCCGCTCTTTCATTTGAGCCAAAAAAAACATTCATATCTTGTCTGACATCTCTGCTACAAATTCTGGTCATCAACTCTGGTTTTCAGTTGAAATTGGAATTGTTAATTTACACAATAATAGGAGTGCATTGTAGATTTTTTCTTAACTCGCAAAAATCTTCAAACAATTTACTACCGATTGGTGATAAAATTTTTTGGAAATAATGAAATAGGGGGGATAACACTTTTTTTGAGGGGTGATTTTTCAAAAATTTATTTTAAAAAAAGTACTAACTAGCGAATGTTTTTTATTAGCTCGCAATTTTCTTCAAAACTACTTCAATGAGGAAAAAAATAAAAATTTGGAATATCTATACATGAGGGGCTAATTAATCGGATCTAACAAATGATCGTCGGAACAAGGTCCGCCATTCTACCGGGTGTCCACTGTTAATTACACGCATACGTTACCCTATACAAGATAAATTAAAATAATTTTTTTTGGCACTTACGTTTTTCGCGATTATCTCGGAAACTATGAGAGATAGTGCCTTAAAACCGAATTTGGGGTCCCTATAGGAAAGTGGACGGCTCAGAATTGCGTTTTTCCACTTCCTACACTCTATACAAGGTGAATTAAATTAATTTTTTTTGGCACTTTCGTTTTTCGCG